CCAGGTCCAGCCGCTGTAGATCCTTACGCTGTTTTGGACAGAGTCCTCTTGAGACCGGTCTTCGATTAGGACTCACCAAGAATGAGGTGAGTTGACTGGGGGGAAGATGCTTGAATCAAGCCACCTCCCCGAGGCGAAGATAAGCCTTCTTGAGGTTTACGGGGGTACCAAGGGACCAAGACAATCCCCTTCAAAGTGATTTAAAGTACCTTCCCACCAACTAACATGTAAGTGCAAAAAGGCCCTTTCCAAGAGGAAAGTAGTCTTTCTATGTTAGCTGGTGGGAGGGTAGTCATCACGGAAAGGTTCCTTTGCCAGGGCCCTGCTTAAGGGGAACTGTACATTGAGACAGTTCTGGGCGTTAGGTGTCCAAGAAAGAGCCATCTGCAAAGGGGCTGGCCTGTAAACCAAATGTGCAAAACAAATATGTCAACCACAGGGTCGGGTTGAAACAACAGGGTCCCAATCGGGTCCCAATGGAATGATGTATTGCTCTTCGGTTTCCGTCAGTGCAGGTGGTCTTTGTTGCACTGTCCGGACTCAGGACGGCACAATGCTTTCAGATAACGTTGCTGTATATACAGGAATGGCATGCTTGACTTTACCACAGTTGGCCTAGTGGTGCCCCCTTTTGCCGTTGTTTTGGGTGGTCTTCCCTGCAGATTCCATCAACACAATCTGTTTGCTTCCGAAGGTGGAGGAATGCATGGACAAGTGCCGGCTCGAGTACGTGCTGCCGCGGCCGAATGTGAAGACGCCCCTCGCGGTGGAGGATCGGAAAGTGTGCGACTTGGAATGCATCAAAGGGAGACAGGAGACAGGTCTACCCCCAAAAAAATGTTCTCAAAGGGGGTTCCAAGGGCCTCTTCTCAGACAGTTCTACTATTCTTTTCATGTTGACCCAGGATTAATAAACCCCTGGTTGATTCATAGGGGGGTGTCCAATTCCTTTTAGTGGGGATTCAGACCACTCTTGGAGAGAACACCCCCATATTAATAGACAGGGGTTTGTTAATCCGGGGTCATTCCTGAGGTTTCTGGGGGTCCTTGGGCTCTGTGGCACCTGTGAGCGGAGCATGTTCTGAACTGCAAGCAGAGCGACTTCGCGTGTCAAAGGTGTGGGCAAGCAGCTGGTGTCATGTAGCCTTCATTCCGGCATGCGCCTGGGGCTGAAATATGACGCGTCAGCATACCCTTTCCAATCCCAAGGTGAGTCACTTGCTCAAACCACAGGTAGATGAAGGCTAGTAAGAGACGATCCCAACCACAAATAGCTGTGGCCGCCTTCTGGATTCTTTACACGGTTCTGGGTAGACCAGTTTGGTCCCGGGGTTTGATTGTGACTCAGGTCACATGGGTATCTCCAAACAGGTCTTTTTGGGACCCCCAAAATGGTGGTTTTCCTTTTGGATTCCCTTTTCACCCCCCTCCCCCCAAGAAAAGAAGAAGAAAAAGCAACCACACACAGACAAAACAAAAATGGGCACCCTCAAAAAATACACCGTAATAATTATGGGACCTTCTAGACCTGGCTGGTTTCCTTACGGTTCCCGTGTTTTGGGCTCCGAGGCTACAATGCCTGTGTGGACCACTGTGTCATCGGCAGGACCCAGGACGCTCGATCTCGGCCCAAATGTCCGCTCTGCTCCGAAACTCAAAGCGATGACCACACGCGTGCGTCTTTTGTCAGGGGACCCCCTCAAACTGATGGTTTTCCTTTTGGTTTGCCCTTAAACCAACCCCAAACAGGGTACATTCAAAAAAGCACACACCCAAGTACAAAACCGTCTACAGGGCCAGGTCCTTTTGCTGTCCCTTTCCAGTCCAAAGTTTGAAAGGGCCGGTTCCCCCTCTGCAAGCAAGGTCAAGTGCTGTCCTTCAAACTGGACACAGCTTGACGACCGCTTTTTTCCTTTGAACCAAGTGCTGGTCCTCAAACTGGACCCCATTTTTTTTTTAGTCAAGGGCAATTGACGCCCTGGAAACTGGACGTCCAGTTCCCCCCAAAAACCCAAGTCAACGGCATGCGAAGTCGAGGAGGGCGTTGCCCGGCCGCAGTGTCCCTTGGTGACGCTTGGCTGGAGCTTATCGGTCCTCGAGCTCGGGAACAGCTCGGCGAAGCCAACGCCAGCGATTTTTCCCAAACGGCACCCGGGCTCGGCATGTCTCATCCGGGCAAATGAAATGGAGCCTTTCTCAAAAGGCGGCACAGCATGGCGTTCCACAGATATTGACAACGCCCCCTCCTCATGCAATTAACCTTGACCCTTCTGATGAATGAGGGGAAGGACCGCCCGGCGAGCCGGATTTTTGCGAATTCTTGCTTTGAGTCTCAGTGACGAAGGTTCCTCTCATCGGGAAGCTCGATTCTTTCTCTGATTCCTTTCATATGGAAGACCGAAGATTCCTTTCATACAAGCATTTGTGGCTTCTTGCGGCTTCCAGATTCTCTCTGCCAGGGCTCATCTTTTGATCCGCTTTTGGGAAACTCCAAGGGTGGTTTAAACTCTGCCCTTCAGCGCTTGAGTTGAGGGCGATCGGCTCGCCGGCGATTCGTAGTGCTGAGTTGCCAGGCTTCGCGCCCACTGAACATGACTTACTAGGTCCAGTGGTGCCCTTCTACCGTTTCTTTTTAGGGGGAGGGTTCCCGTACTAAAATAGACTACAGAAAAAAGCATCGGGTACCCGTATTCTAGCCCCTCTACTGGAGGACCTAGCTTAGCGGTGACAATCCGTCGACAGGCATAGCCTGGCCACTCAAGCGCAGAGGTGTTGATTCAGGGCTTCCAGCTGGCAAGTCGAAGAGGTAAATGTTAGGGCGCCCGGGGTGTGGATTATCCCGGCAAGGGTGTGTTTAAAACGAGTGCTTAAAGCGCGGGCTAAACAACAGACAGAGGGGGAAACAACCTATGAGCTCGGTCTTTGGCATCTAACAAGTTTCCCAGAGCAGCTTGCTGCCGTGCACACCCATTTCGGAGCTTCCCGCTTGAGGAACGGCTACAGTGAGCGGTCCCGGACTTAGACATTGCGAAGCCGTTCGGAGAAGGTTCCAGTTAAGAGGAGGAGGGCTTGGCTTTTTCTACTGTAGCAACTCTGGGCAATGTTTTTAGGGATGCAAGCAGGCACCCTTACAACCAGCTTACCGAGTATGGGGTTTCTTGCCTAAGACTTGGGAGGTAGCCCTGACGGTACTTGGGACAAACTGTAACATGCAAAGTTATGTTGTTGGTTTTTGTGCTTTGTGTTTAGATCTTGCACTGTCAGGTTGATTTGCGATGGAAGCTGTTGAAACATTGCCAGACTCAACTGACCCGTTGTTTGGGGGTCCCTCATTCCCCCGGTTTAGCAGGCACAGAGTTCACTTTCGTCGGATCCGTCTGGCGGAGTGGGTTGGCTTTTCGGGGAGTCTTGACAGGTACACCGTTTGGGAGAGCCACTTGGCAGCATTCCGCCACCTGCCCCGGTGCTCCTGTTCAGGTATGTCCTTGTTTGGGAACCGTCAGCTAGGTCCCCCAGTCGTGCCCTTTTACCCCTTTTTGGGGGAGGGTTTCCCTACTAAAATAGACTACAGGGAAAAAAGGGTTCCCTTATTCTAGCCTCTCTACTGGAGGACCTGGGTCAGGGAGAACGGGAAAACCTTCATTTTGCAGGTCAGCCTAAATTTTAAGAGAGACCCCGCGCCGGTTTTTTCAATCACTCCCATCCCAGATGTTCAGCGGACTCCACCCCTCGGATTCCCCCTTTGCTACTGGGGTCACTGGGCAACTGAGCCCACCATTTTTCAGCTGGCCTGAGCCCATTCACTAAACACGCTTTGAGCTCGCAGATGGGCAAAAGCACGTTTGCCAGCGTTGACTCAAAACCTGGTTTTTTGGGCGGTGGCCTTTTCTTTTGTTTCTTTTTCCGAGGCTACGAGCAGTTGGATCCGGGCAAGGAAGTTGCCAAGTCGGAAGAAGTCGAGCCAAAGGTGTCGATCGCCGACATGCACAGCAAGATCTTAGCGCAGCACAAGCTGGCATTCGGCCAGAAGTTTTAGAGGCAGAATGTGGACAAAAAAATGCAAGACACCCAGTGCCTGTTTGGCCACTTTGCTTCCGAGTTGGGCTTAAGAGCGAGTGACCCAGAAAGAGCCCGAGGAGGCTCACTCCGCCGACATTGGCCTCTCCCTTTGTTTCCTTTTGCCTCTCTCGTTTTCCTTCCCCTTTGTTCCCTCCTCCTCGCTTCCCTCTCTCTCCCTTCTCTCTCTCTCTATCTTGCATTTCCTGGTTGCGTTGCAGCGTCATCTTCTTGCATTTCCCGTTTGCGTTGCATCGTCATTCATTTCCCCTTGCTCTGCATTTCCTTTTCACGTCTCGTCATTTCCTATCATTGCCTCGTCATGTCCCCTTCCTTTCCTTTAACTCCCCCTTCATTTCCCCGTCATTTTCTCAGCATTGCCCGCTTCATTCTACGTGTATGTCCCCTTTACTGCCAGTCGTTTCCCTACATCTCCTTTCGTGTCCTTTGATTTCCTCGTCAGTGTCTTTCGTTTCCCTTTATTCCCCTTCCTTCCCCCTTTTCTCTCCCTGCGTTTCTCATTCCTTTCCCTTCATTTCCCTTTCAGTTCCCCTTCGTTTCCCTTTCATTTCCCTTTGATTTCCTGTTAGTTCCACTTCCTGTCCCCTGCATGTCCTTGCATTTCCCTTTATTTCCCCTTCATGTCCCCTTCATTGATTTTCCCCGCACTTTCTTTCATTTCTCCTTCATTTCCCATTATTTCCATGTATTTCCCTCGAATTTCCCCGTCACTCCCTTTGGAGTCCTTTCATTTCGGTGTCATGCCTGCTTTCACTTCCCTGTACGGTTCTGCAGTTCCGCACATAGCCCTTCACATCCCCTTCATTTCCGAAACAAAGTCCCTTCAGTCCCCCTGAGCAGCTTCATTCCCCGTGTGTTGCCCTTTGCTCCCACTTCCCCTTCATGTCATTCCACTAAAAATAGTCTTCGGGGAGGTGTGGCAAACCAGGGGTCTTGGGCTCGAATCCCCCTGCCGGCTCTTTGCCGTTCGGGCTTTCCGCCTCCTTTTGCCGAACACCTGGAACAACTCTGTGTTGTGTGTCCTCCTTTTTTCGAAACGTTAATTGCAAACGGTGCGTTTCTGCTAGAAGATTGACCTGTTGGGGGGGGGACTTGAGGAGGGTTGTCCTCTATCCTCTCCCAGGTGTTCGACACGCCGGGCAATGTCGGCGGACTTGGGGACTCTCCCTTAGTTACAATTTAACCGAACCGTCAGGGTTTTCGGCTTATCACTTGCTCACATGGGTGTGTCATTTTTCAGGGTCTCCTTTTTGGGTGGCCTTTGTATGGGAGGCCCAAAGCAAAAAAACAAGACCGGTGCACCACGTTGGTCCGGTTCCGAAAAGGATCACACCCACGTGGTTGATCCACGCCGATCCAGCGCCCTTCGATCCGACGGGCAAGAGAGCGCTCCGCTCCACGAAACTCCGCGTCAAGAAGAACTAGGTCCCCGAGTAGTGCCCTTTTACCGTTTCTTTTTTGCGGGAGATTCGGTTCCCCTACTAAAATAGACTAAAGTACCTCAGGACCTAGAAAACGAGGTGGAAATGCCACCGGAAGAGTTCCCTGTTTTTTTTTCCTCGGCAGACGGGTTTCTCCTTGGGAATGCCCACTTCCATTGGGGGAAGGCAATCTATTCATTTTGTGTTTGTTTTGGGGGGGGGGGGATCACGTTTCTGCGGCGGGCTGCGCGTTCTGATGGCCTGAGGCCTCGCTGCCCAAAGCGAAAGGACCTCTCAAGTCACCTTCGGGGTGTCCCCTAGGTGCCCCCAAGTAGTGCCCTTTTCCCGTTTCCTTTTTTGGGGGAGATTCGGTTCCCTTCCTAAGAGAGAGGAAACACTTCGTAGCCTTCTTCTAAGCGCTCTGGAGGACCTCGCCTATTTGTCCCACCTTCTACTTCCAGGACCTGGGCAAGTGACGGCTGAAGCAATTGCGCCCAGCCAAAGGTCCCAGGCTGGCAAGCAAAAGCTTTGCCCCACGTCGTGGATCTCTGGAATGTGTTTTTTTCTTCCTTTTTGTTCTTCTTTTTTTTTTCTTTTGCTTTTTTGTTTGTATTGTGCACTTGCTGCTTAGCTTATCATTACGAGCCATTGCTGTCACCAGAGGCGCTATCATATCACACAGATCAGCAGGTCGTTTGCCAGTGCCCGACTTGGCTCAGAGCGAATTGGCGGCCGGGTTTTGTGGTTGGTTCACTTGCATTATTCGGGGAATCCAGGATGTCGCAGTGGTTTGACAGCCATCCACCCCCGAACCGTGAGGCGATTCTCTACAGAACAGGGTTGTCACGGTTGTCGGTAGCGAACACCCACTCTATCACTTTGATGCCAGGGAATCCGCCCTTTGAAGTCATGTGGTTGTTGGGAGTTTCCTAGAAATAGGTTGAGCCCTCTGGACAGCTTCAAAGTTCAAGGAAGCCACAGGCAAACCACCAGAACACAAAACTGCCCATTGATTGTCTCTTCTGGATAGACCAAGTCTTAAAAGCAACACATGTAACGCGATACAACCATTCTTTACCGAACTCGTTAAACAAAAAGAGAGCAGCGCGAATCGAAGGATTTGCCCTGCGATTTAACGCAAGATGCGGTAGCCATGCGCTTGGAGCTGATTCATGGCCTCCCTCGCGAGCCTCGGCTGCCTTGAGCCAGGGAGCGTGGGGAGGGGGGGAGGGGGCAGGGCATGGACACCTAGCGTCGATTTGCAACCACGACCCCCTATAAAAGGTTGCAAAACAGGAGGGGTGGGCGGGTTTGTGTGGGAGCCCAAAACGGGCTTTGGTCATTTGTCCTGGACCGCGGAGACCTTTTTTCGGTGCTCCGCGCGTCTCAGGCGAAGCAACTCCTCTGGGAGCAGCCGATCGCCGAAGCCGCGGCGTTGGCGGCTCACCGCAGGACGCCATGCGGCCGGTGCGCGCCTGTGGGTCGACGCGCGGTTCAGGGAATGACATGTCTTCCAGGACACACCTGTCAGGTGCCATATTAGCTAGTCGGAGGGTAGGCGCGAACTAAGGCAATCCGGTGTTCTTCGGACTTTCTTTCCTCGTCCACGGCTTGAGCCCACTGGGCTCTTAGGAGCGCCGCGCGAATCTTCCTGGAAGCGCCAGGCAGGGGCGCCGAGACGTCGTAAGCTTTGTAGCCTATAGCCTATACCCGTCTCTGTCCCACAACCCACACTAGGTCCCCCAACAATTTATGCCCTTTTTGACCCTTTTTTTGGTAGGGAGGGTTCCCCTACCCAAATAGACTACAGAAAAAGTTGGTACCCTTATTCTAACCCCTCTACTGGAGGAGCTAGTAGCCTATAGCCTATACCCGTCTCTGTCCCACAACCCACAATTTCAATGGTGGACATGGACAGGGAGGTTTTGCGTAGGAAAATAGGCTGCGCACATCTTGCTGAAAGCTTCCATGCTTGGGAGGGCGACTTGGGCTCAATGACCTAAAGCCACGCAGTTATCAACTTGGCCGGCCTGTTGACCCTTAGTTTCGCTGTTTGTGGCTTGAAAATCATTTTGTTTTCAACCGCTCCCTTTTCTTCAGGTGCACAGAGTCCAGTTGCCAGCTACACCATACTTTGGCCATATGTACTGGTTATCAACCCCCCCAAGGATTTCGAACAAACATTGTAAGGAGTTCCTATCAAGAACCATACCCACACCACACCTACTCCCATGTCAATGTGACGGGTGAAGGGATCTCTTGCCACTGCTTGGGCGTTGGAGTTGGTGCTCTTTTTGGATTTGATTTGACCGGAAACCGGGATTCCACATCTAGTTGAGGTGAAGTCTAAGGGCAACTCTCCCTCCTTTGTGTGTGTGTGTGTGTTTTTGATATATGTTGTTTGGAATATTATTTTAGGGGTGCTGCCATTTTAACACATGGGGGTTGATCAATGTTCCTGGCCCTCAAATGACCATGGGTAACTTTTCTATGCGGAAAATATAGAATCTTTCTAGCGGTTTTCCATGCAATGGTCATTCCATGTATCACAGACCTTTTGCTCAACCTCATACCTGTTGACAGGAGAGAAGCCACCATTTTTCAGCTTCAGTTCTGTGATACTCGTTGGAATCTCCCCCGTTTAACTGGGGTTAGTCTTTGGGTTAGCCAATTGTGTATCACAGATTCGTGGATTCCATTTCCCACAGCCCTGATTGTGATATTTTCTTGTTGGGCTGAACACATGTCTCTTCATTTTGGCAACGATGAAACTATATCACAGAAGTGGTCATTCCCCCCCTCCTTATGGCGGGTTAGTCTTTGGGGTTCGCCTTTTTTCTGTATCACAGCTTCGTTCTTTTTCATTTCAACCACAGCCCTGCGAGCTGTGCGACGCGACGCAACCCCCCGCCGCTCCGCTGGACGCCTTGACTTCAGGCGCTCGCGGCGAGTCCTTCCTCGCCAGCTCCTTCGAGGCGGCGCCCGGCCGGGGACCTCAGACTAAGGGCGAGGCGAGTGAGGCGAACGCTCGGCGTCCTCCAAGCGTTTTGGGGTTGAGCAGAAGGTTATGGGATACATGGGATGACCATTGCATGGTTGTTGGGAAACATTTTACATTTTTGCTTATTGTGGTTAAGTGGGAAATCCCCACCCCGTTCCAACGTCAACCAAGATTGGTTGGGGGTTTTCCACCAGAAAAGACATGTCTTGCACATGGGAAAAGTGATGCAGGCCAGTTTTGTGGGGCCGAAGTATAAGCCACACATTTGTTCTCTTTTGGTTTTCCTTTGAACCCCAACCAAGAGGGGGTCCACCATTTTTTATATATATGGCACTGACGTGCCACCATGTATCCCAATGTTGCAATACGGCATGATGTTTTAGTGGCATGACCATCAGTTGTTTCTTGTGTGTCAAACGTAGCAATGTGACGTTTAAGTGGTATGACATCATTTTGTGTTTGCCATTAAACGTTGAGTGGCAAGAGGTCATTCAGCGGCTTTGAGTATCACTCGAGGATGTAATATATTATATATATATATATGTATATGTACTATATATATATGTATATATGTCCCTGGTGTACCTTTCATGCCTCCGAGCCATGCGTAGCCATATGCAGCTGGCAGAAAACAAGTACAGGGGGAATGGGCTGCAACCTTAGCCTTGGAAGCACCTTTTGGTTGCTTCCTTTGGGGGCAAAACTCTCCATATTAAAAATAGCATTGCCACAGCCGGAGCTCTTTTGCATTGGCGTGGCCGCCTTGGGGATCCAAGAAGATATTTTATACAAAGGTGCTTTTTTGGGGGTGCTTGATTTATTCTTTTTTGGGGGGGAGGGGGGGCTTTTTGGGGGTCCTAAGAGGTAACGAGCGCCCGAACGGGCTTCCCCAGAGTCCCGCCAAGCGCCTCCGAAACCGGTCTGAATCGCCGCAGCTTTTGAAACGGCGGCGTGGCAAAGCGCTTCCAAGGCACTGAGAAGGAAGCCGAGGAGGCGGGCGAAGAGTTGGGACCAGAAATGGTCCTAAGCGGGGTTTTCAGTTTCAGCTTGCGACGAGTTTTGTTTCTGTGCCTTTTAAAAAATGTGGGTTTCAGTTTGGTTCGAACAGATTTGCAAGTGCCATTATTTTTGTTGTTTGCTTCGGAGGCCTCGCACCGACGCCCATGGATGTTTACAAGCGCAACGGGTTCCGACGAAGAACATGCAAGGGCCTTTCCTTGGTTTCCTAGAAGCTCTGTTCGGCAGGGGGCCCTTTTCCAAGTTTGGGGCATTTTCCCGCGTTGCAACCGCCAAGATCGGGTCAGGTCGTTCTTTGCCATTCCAGTGGCATCCCCCAAAAGCGAGTCAGGGTTGTTCCAGGGCCACTTTTCCATCGTTCCACTTCGGAGCAACACCCTGGCAAGCTCCAACCGATGCTCACCACTCACTTTTTGTGGAACACTCACCCCAGTTGTTGGAGTCGTTGGCCGGAAGCCTCTTTTCCAGGAAGGATGTAGCCCCCCACTTCTGTTCCTTCGGACGCTCCGGGCACGGAAGATTTCATCATTTCATCCGAAGGTCACCCAAGGCCACCTCAGGGTGTCCTTAGCCTGGTAAGATCCAGTTAAGAGTTGTGGGCTTGTCACAAAACCGGGGAAATCCCCCGAAAATCGGCGGTGTCCTCTTGGTTTCGAATTTCGATCCATTTCAAGAGGGTACCGAGAAACAAACAAGGACACCCCTCTTGAACACGAAGGGCAGCTCGAAGGCTGGAAAAGGAGAGAAACTTCTGGCGAGTTTGAAGCAGCTCTAGTCTGATTGCTCGATTCGGGGCCCGAAACAGGGGGATCACAAGCAAACCGAAGAAGCCCCTGGCCTTCATTCGGATTGGAGTCATGCCTGAAAAAGGTTGTCCCTTGACAACCATAGGATATCTCATCACATGATGTGTCTTGAGGGTATTTCTTTCAGGTGTTCAAGGGGAAGCCAAAAGGACAGGCACCATCTTGGTGGTTCCAGTTCCTATGCCCACATGCCCACGTGTTTTCTTCCCCCATCCCTTTTGCTCGGCAGGACTTAGGCCCCTTGGACCCCCACGGCAACTCCTTCAAGCAGAACAAGGCGAAACGCACGCGCGCGCGCGCGAAACCGTTTCGGCGTTTCGCGCCGGCAGGTGGGCCACTGGGTTTGGCCCCACGAAAGTTGGGTGCCCAAACTTGGTGGTTCCCAGCCATCCGGTTCCGCATCTTAGACTTTTTTTTTGGGCTCAGTGGGGGGTTCCATTCAACCAGTTAAACTTTTAGCAGGGGATCTGACAGCCCAGCACATGTTGGCGTTCTGCCTCACAACACGCCAAGACATCCGAAGTTTTTCGGAGCGAAAGCTCGGGTGTTGGCAGGGCCGAGAGTCCGTGGCCCCAAGAACTGCCCCTTGGGAAAAGGGTCCGTCGAAGGAATGTGGCGATGCAGCCCAGATATCTGTGGAACAGATGTTTCCATGGGACCGTGGTACTCCTTCGATTTTAAGTCGTAAAGAAACCACAACGCGGCTTCGAATGTGGCTGAACCTGCGGATGTTTGCATTTTACCATGTCAAGCAATCACAAGCACTAGGTGCTTTGTCAAGCCAGCATATACATTGTTGGTACACATGAGTTACCTCATCGACGGCCGATCACCCAACCAAAAGACCGGAGGGGAAGGTGATTGAAGCATCGGAAAAAGGCCCCAGAACTTGCCCCCTGGCAGGTTTCGCAACGGAGCGCACCATTCACCATTGACTCTACGGTTCATTTACTTCCGCTTAGTTCTTTGCTTTAATTTGCGTAGAGACGTTCTAAATAATTTTGCAAGCCAGTTTGTGGTAATACTGACCCTGGATGAATCAACCCAGAGTTGCTTAAGGGGTATCTCACAGAATGGGGAGCTAATTGAAGGGCTTTCAGGGAAGTCAACAACAATGCGGTGGTTGAAACCACCCGATCGATGGAGAGAACATGGCAGATCTGGCACGGCCGATTCCCGACGGTGTGGGGCTGGCTTCGTGGGCTTTCAAGGAAAAAGCACCCAATATTCTTTGGATCTCCTATGTACCCTATTTTGTGTTCCAACTGCTGTGAACTCCAGAGTCATTTGTGTGCATCTGGGGCACCGTTGTTTATCCATTGGCCGTCAATCACCTTGATGCGTCTGGGGATGTGGATGTCCTTTAAGGGTCTAGGTGGTGTGTGTCTCTGTGTCTCTGTGTCTGTGTGTGTGTGTGTCTCTGTGTCTGTGCCTGTGTCTGTGTTTGTGCCTATGTCCGTGTCCGTGTCCGTGTCTGTGCTGTCGGTGTCGGTGTCTGTGTCTGTGCTGTCTGTGCTGTGTCTGTGTGTCTGTGTGTCTGTGTGTCTGTGTGTCTGTGTGTCTGTGTGTCTCTGTGTCTCTGTGTCTCTTTGTCTCTGTGTCTCTGTGTCTCTGTGTCTCTGTGTGTCTGTGTCTCTGTGTGTCTGTGTCTGTGTGTGTCTGTGTCTGTGTCTGTGTCTGTGTCTGTGTCTCTGTGTGTCTGTGTGTCTGTGTGTCTGTGTGTCTGTGTGTGTGTGTGTGTCTGTGCGTCTGTGTGTCTGTGTCTGAGTGTGTCTGTGTGTCTGTGTGTCTCTGTGTGTCTGTGTGTCTGTGTGTCTGTGTGTCTGTGTGTCTGTGTGTTTGTGTGTCTGTGTGTCTGTGTGTCTGTGTGTCTGTGTGTCTGTGTGTCTGCGTGTCTGCGTCTCTGTGTGTGTATGTATCCGTTTGTGACTTGCGATTTCAACGGGGATGAGGAGATCGAGCAGACCACCCCGATTCTGCTCATGTGTTGACTAATTTTCCCTTCACTCGGCACCCTCTTTTTGTGAGCATGTCTGATCATGTGCGAGTGCAGGCCTATGGAAGGTACGAGTCAACTGCTGGCTCCCGCGCATTTGTTTTTGCGGCCAGGTGTGCGGCTACAACTTGGCGCCAGGGGAGCCTCGGCTCGGAGGGATGGCAGGGGTCCTTTGCCAAAGCCAACGTGTTGGGCTTGGATGATATTTTAGGGGGACATGTAGGAAGCCACGAGGGGTTCAAGAGGTTTTTGGGCTTGACTCATTGCCCGGGTTGGAGTTTATACTGGGAAGACCAATTCAGTGGTGAAACAGTCTGGACGGTTTTTGTGTCCAATCCACTCAGGAGCTGAGTTGAGACTCTGGTTTCAACATCGATCCGGGCCTTAGAAACAAAGCTTTGGGACCACCAAGCCCGTTGAGTGTGGACCATCTGAGTAAGCAGTTAGTTATTACCCCACGTCAATGCATCCCTCAGGCGGGTTCTTGGGCATCCTTGGTGAACTTTTTTCGGGGTTAGTCACGTCCCAAGATTCGGGAGCCTTCAAAATGGGAGTCAAAGAGGTTTCCGCAACCAGTTCCTTTGTTATTTCCTTGCGAATCACCAAGAACTGGGGTACCCTCGAGCAAAGCTTCACACCCCGGAAATCTGAGTGAATGGTTGGTGTCCGTTTGGTCCCTTGGAACCACCAAAAGGGGACTCCCCCCAACACCCAGACCGCTTGACTGGCCCCTACCATTTTTTTGTTTTGGTGGTGAGTTCCGCAAGGAGAAATCTCGGGAGCCCTTGTGAGATGTGCTGAGCAGGCTTGGTTTCCCGGCGGAGAAAAATAACACAACATCACACACCGGGGATACAGATCTCCTAACCTGGTTCTTCCGGGAACACCCCTCAGCCTTCGGTTTCCCGGGCATATCACCTATCCCACTCACCACAAAATGGGATAGCCTTCGAGGTGTCACCGGAATATCTCACCCCTCAGAAGCGAATTTGAGGAAGGTGTCCACACATGGTATCCCACGTTTGGGGGATGGTTTGGAAAAGGGAACCCAAAGGAACATTTTTGAGACAAACCCATGTGCACCAAAGGAAAACCACCATTTATTTTTTTTTTGTGTGTTGGGGGGGGGGGACTCCGATACAACCCCATGTTTGGGAGGTACCTTATTTTTGAGACAAATGTGGGGTGAGCCATGGCACCGGCCGTTTCCCCTGAGTTTCCGGAGGTTTTGTGGAAAGATTTGGATGCCTGGCAAGAATGGAAATGGAAGGTGCCCCTAGAATGGCATACCCCAACCCCATGTTTGGGAGGCAATTACCCCTCTTTTGAGACAAAGACATGTGGGTGAGCCATGGCTTGATTTTCCCTTCCCCTCCCAGCGGTCGGCTTTCTCAGGAGCAGCGCTGCTGCGAGATGAGCACCGAGGAGAAGTGCCACGAGTGCTGCGCCTCCGGCGGCAGCCAGCAAAGCCCCGGGCTGTCTGGTCAAAGGGACACCCGGTGCGAGTCCTTTGAAGCCAAAACTCTGGTAGATATGGTCAAAAGACGTCTTTTTTTCTTCTTCTTCTTCTTTTATGGCCTTCAAACAGAAGCTATGGCAAGGCAATGTTTTTCTTGCTGGGCCCCTTGAAGTTGAAGGCAAAAGGAGGTGGTTTAAACATAAGTTTTTCAGCATGTGTGAAAGGCTCGAACTGCCTAGCCCTGCTCTGCAGCAGAACGGCCTGGATTTGCTGGTGTTCCCGGTGTTTCTCCCGAATGTGGTTGAATGAACCCAGGAATTGGTCCCCTTAAAGGAAATCACAAGGGATGAGGGAATGTGATGGAATGAACCGGTTTGGGATCCCCTGAAAGGAAACCACCAGTTGGATGGTTTATATTCGGGTCATTCCATGTCTCATTCCCTGCCTATCACACCGATCGCAAGGAAAGCACGCATGGGTTCCCTAGGGCTCCCTGAAGGATACACATCCAACAATCCTTCGGCATTACATGGGGGATCCTACCCAAATCGGCTGAGAAGGCGGCCGATTTTTTGTCGGCCGGCTCGGGACCCGATCCGTGCACTTCCCTGCTTGATAAGGCAAGGTGTGTCACAACGCTGCCCGAAGTCCCGTAACCTCGGGAAAATGCGCAGGGAGGGGGGGAAGCGATGTTTGAGATCATTGTCAGCCATGAAACGCAGTGGGCTTTCCTTGAACGAGCCAAAACTACCAAGCAAGCTTGTCCCTTGTTGCTTGTCAAGTTATGGGTTCCCGAGAGCGGCGTTTTTGATTTTATCTTAAAGGTATGCCAGGTCCGTGCTTCTGCTAACGAGCTCACCAGGCAAAAATATGTGCAGGGTATGCAAAGATATTCAAAGAGCATTTACAAAATAAGGTAGGAGAAGGGGGAACAGTAGGCAGAAATAGGGCAATGGGCACAAGAAGATTCCAGCTTCTCTTCAACCACAACCCCAATATGGGTACGGATGAACTTCTCTTGGATGGCTTCGAAGGGCAGTCAAAGGGAATCGACTGGAAATGGCTGCAAATGGGAGTCACAAGCTTCGGAGACCTGCTTGCATCAATGGGAGATCGGGCTGTGTGCCTTGGTGGGTGGGTGTTTCTCCCTTGACTGCTATTGGGTTGGATCTTTAGACTTTAACTTTAACTTTTTGGGAAATTCATGGGTTTTCCACTAAACCCCCCAAAAAGTTGTCCACTTTTTGCAGGGGGCGTCAGCAACCAAGCTCCGAATGGGCTGGTTTGGTTTCGAAGAGAAACCACAATCAGGAAGCCCTTCGCTTCGAGAACCGCCCATTTTTTTCTTGGTGCGATAGGCAGGAAAGGAGAATGGAATGACCCCTATAAACCATTTGTTGTGGCTTGCTTTAAGGGAATCCGCAGGTGAGCCACAATCAAAACCTGGGTAAGTGAAGGTTGGTAAGAATTTGAACCATAAACAGGTGCGGCCGCCTTGGTAGCGCTTTACAAGGTTTGGGTTCACCATTTTTGTCCAGGTTCTACTTATGACTCGGGTTCATTCCAACTCATTCTAGGTCCCCCAATAGTGCCCTTCACCTTTTTGTTTGGGGAGGGTTCCCCAACCAAAATAGACTACAGAAAAAGTTGGTACCAACTGATTCTAACCTCTCTACCGGAGGACCTAGCATTCCCTTCTCGCGATGGCAAGTTGTTGACCGAGACAAAAAACCCTCCAACGCGCGTGAGAAAGGCACGCGGGGGCCTTTCGACGCTCCTTTGAGGCGTCCAGCGAAACTTTGAGGGCGTCGAGGGGGAGCCGGCAGACCAGACCTGCCGCCGGACCTGCGTGCGCATGTGCTACAAAGGCAGGACTGTGGGGAGGTGGTGGGTGGGAGTGAGTGGCGGGTGGGGGGGGGGGTGGGTTGGGGGGGGGGCGGTGGGGGGCTCTCCGCGGGGTGTTTGAACCGCCGGCCGAACTTTTTGAAGAAGCCAGTGTATGCTGTATGGGCCAAGCAGTGAATCAAAAGCACCAGGTACCTTCTGGCGTTTGTTTTGTTGCTGTTGAAAAGCGTTGGACCCTTTGAGGGTGTTTCGGCAGAGAACATCAAGAAGATGTTGCAAACCGGGGGATCATCAGGCTTTGAGTTTTAGTTGGGAACTCCAAAAATGGTTTCTGGTTTCCTCTCCAAACGAGACGCTCTGGCCTCAATTGACTGTTGGGGGGGGGGAGGAGGGTTAGGCCGATGCGACTGCGAGGCAAGGACGAAAAGGAGACGGTGGGCAAGCACATCCCCAGATGCCCGGATGATGCCGAGGCCAGCGTGAGTCTCTACCCCACCAACGATCAGGACAGGCGAAACATTCGAGTCGACAAGAGCAGCTCCTGCACAGCTGAAAGCCAACCCTTCAGCCTTGGGTTTTCCCATTTCTGTCTATTTTCAGTACAGGTCCCAAAAGGTTCGCATGATAGTTTTCGTTTCAATTGCTCAAGAGGACACCAGACGAGGGTACAGCATGTCTAGTTTTCCAAACCTACTCAAATCCCAGCAGAGATGATCCTCTGAAATTATTGCTGGAGTCCACCAAAGCGTGCTCTACGATTCATAGCCATTTGAGATCTGTCATACGTCTCCATGAATGGAGTAGTTTGGGCCTGGTCCTCGTCGTTCTTGCCCGGCTTTCGTGTTTTTGTTTTTTGTTTTTTTTTTTGGGGGGGGGGGGGTGACAGGGGGTTGCCCTTGGCCAGAAGTTTGAACGGGCTGGTTACGGTTGCTTCCCTGATTTCCAAAGGTTGCGCAAACTGTCCGCAAACCGACCATGAAGCATGCTCTTGGTTGGTTTTCTCCTTGTCTTCCCCGTCCCTTGCAACACCTAGGGACTCGCAAACCAAAGGGCGGTCCGCGGTTCGGCCCCTGAACTCCTTTGGGGGGAAACAGCCGCGAAAAAGTATGGGCACCTTTGGGCCACCGGCAGAGCATGTCACTATGCAGCCCCAAAAAGCTCACCCCCCCCCATGGCGCCCCCATGGCGCTTTTCCACGGCGCCTTTTGGCATGTCAATTGGGCAAGCCGGTGTCACTCGTCAAAGAAGCACAGCCTGGAAGTCCCTGAAGCTCCAACGAGCCCCCAGTTAGCAGGGTTTCAACAGCTCATGTTCACCGGGTCCTCGGAAGGTTTGGGGATAGCAACCCCTGAAGAGGATGAGAAGCTGAAGGAGTTCGTTCAGATTGCGGAGTGAGGCGATTGCCCCCATTCGGCTGACGAAGCTCCAACCGTGCGGTCGAAAAAGCTCGAGTGTTTTTACGCGCGAGCTCAGGGACAATGGTTAGCAGTGAGTTTGGAGGAGCATTGCTCGCTGTCAACGCCATTGGCACAAGTGGCGCCAGCATACCGGCTGCAATGTCGTTGCCAGATGGATACCAAAGATGCTCTACTATTATAGAGCAATTTCACCATGCCTTGGATGATGCCTCTGCAGAGCCGGGCCAAGTGTCAAAGGAAGTCCTGCTCAAAGTACTGCATCAACTGGACTGCTCATGGACCTTGCAGCGCTTGGACGTTGTGCTGAATCATTGCGGTGCCTGTGCAGGTTTGAAGATTGACTATGGCAAGTTCGTCCAATGGCTGTTCCACGCAACGAGTTTCTCAGAGTATCCAGTCAAAAAGGGATCGGAGAAGCAACGTGCGAGGTTTCTGCGCGAGCAGTGGGAACCATTTCAACAGGAAGTCCAAGCACTTCTAGAACGCACAAAAGCACGTTCTGCCAAAGGGTTTTCTCTTCATGAGATCATGCCGTCCAACGCAATCTTGCGGTCGCTCATGGAAACATGCGCGGCTCTCACGACAGCTTGGCACGGAAGGGCAAATTTCAGCTACGTCTATGAGATGTTCATGGACATGGCCGAATGTGATGGTCACAGCGCCTATTTGTTCCAGGACATCCCGCAGCAGCGGTCAGACGATGGCTTCGTGCGAGTGTTGGACGCCGGGGCGCGCAAGCGACTCTACACGGGATCCAAGTCGAAAGCTGCAAACCAATCGACAGTTTCCCAGTTGCCCAGTGAGTTGCTTCCTTTTTTCGGCTTTCTTGGGGAAGGGTTCCCCTTTAAACTCAACCAACCCAACAAAGGATGCCTCTTTTTTCGCATGGACATCCACTGGGCATCTGAGGTTCTGGTGGGGAGGCTGCCGCAAACCACTGGGGAGTCACATATTGACAATCTGCAGCTGCCACTGTTGATGCGGCGACACGAGTCTCTGTTTCTCAAGGTAGGGCATCGTATCCTGGATTTGCTTCAGAGGGCTTGCTGTCTAGGCCCCCCAGCTAGGTGCCCTTTCTCCTAAAATCGACTACAGAAAAAAGTTGGTACCCACTTATTCTATCCTCTCTACTGGAGGACCTAGTCGTTTTATGTTCCGCTTTTTCAGAGTCCTTAGTATCAGGTATCCCCTAATTGGTGGTTTGGATTGGTGGTTTGGATTTGGATTTGAACCCTTGGTTCTTGTAGAGGGTAAATGGGAAACTCCGTTTCACCACCAATCCACCGGGCTCCAAACCACCAACTAGAGGGAGAGTCCTCATGCAGGGTCTCTCTGCAAGGTATTCAGCAATTTTTGGTGCGGGCACTCCGCTGGAAGCAGAAGCGGATCCTTCAGAAGACTGGGGACCCGGCCGCTGTGAAGCAGACGGCCTTGAAGCTTCAGCAAGATGGGGAAGACTCGCTCGCGCTGCGTTTGCTCGCCGAGCATGGCAGCCTCCTGGAGTCCTATGGTCAGGCGCCATGAACAAAAGCCCTTGACTTGGTGAGTCCCAGCCATCCACGTAGCTTTTTAGCTTTTTAGTGTTTGGTGCTTGGATTTCCAGTTTCACTCCCTATTTGTTCGTCACTTTGAGCGGGGGATCTGAAAACGGACAGCCCAGTTGAACCATGTTTGAACAAAAAAGTTTAACCCACCTTCTCCTTCCCCAACAAGCGGAGCGTGGCTTGGTTTCAGCGAACCTCTTTTTTGCCCAAGCCCCAGGTGCCTGCGGACGTCCGCGGTCAGGCAGATCAGTTCATAGCAGACTGCCTTGCGCCAGCTCAGGCAGAGCTGGACGAAGAACTGGACGCCTTCCTCCAACATTGCCGAGACTTGGCTCTGACTGGGATTCAGAATACTTCCATTGGCTGAAACTTGTTTTTTTGGTAAAATGATCCTTAGTTTGAAAGGCAATCTAGCACTAGAGGACATACTTTTATTTTCATCCGGGGAACTTAAGCAAATGGAAGAATGTAAGGGCCCAAATGGTTTCAATGGTGTTGTGGGGTACATTAGGACATTTCTTTGTCGTAGACGATTGTGTGTGTGTAATTGTTTTGGCCTAGACTTTTAGAGACTTAGGCATCTTAGACCTTAGAGGGTTTCATAGAAGTATCCTACGAAAAACTGGGCGGTTCCCAGTGCCCTCAGGCCTTTAGACGTGTAGTTGGTTTTTGGGTGGTGTCCGTTGAACCCACTAAAGTCAGTCACTTCGAGCGGATCTGAAAACGGACAGCCCAGAACAGTATTTCAAGGTTTCATAAACATCTGGGTGTGGCTGAAAATTAAAGAGCCAGGGCAAAGCGCAGGTTTTAGTCTTTGGTTCCATTTCCCTTCTGGTGCTCAACATCCCAATCCAACCACTAAAATAGGAAAATGGGTGGTGAATTCACCTACCCACCAAAATGGGATCAGCCAAAACGGTTTTGACAACTACAGCCAAGTATCCCACCACAAGGTTTTTCGTTTTTTGTTTTTGTTTGTTTGTTTGTTTTTCCGAAGGAACCAATGAACCAAGGCAAGCACCCCGGTCGCGCGTACAAGAGCCGGGTGGAGCACAAGCTGCTTCTCTTCAAGGCGTTCCGCTCCCCTGACGTGCGAGTCCTGTGGCGTTCCGAGGTGGAGTCCTTCACTCAGCACCGTTACTCGGTTTTGAAGCGAAGCGACCTTTGGACCTTGAAGGTTTTCAACTTTTTGGGCAATTTTTAGTAGTCCCCAAAAGGTAAACCATGTTCACCTTTGACCTTCTGGTTTTCCCTTTGTTTCTACACTTTTAGTAGTCCCAACAGGTAAACCATGTTCACTTTTGACCTTTTGGTTTTCCTTTTTTTCCTACACTTTTAGTAGTCCCAACAGGTAAACCATGTTAACCAGTTAACCTTTGACCTTTTGGCTTTCCCATTTTTTCTACATTTTTAGTAGTCCCAAAAGGTTATTCGACCTTTGGACCTTTTGTTTTTCTTCTTTTTCTCCCCTTTTGGGCCATTGTTTTAGAGGTCCCAAAAGGCGAGCCATGTCCAGCTTTTCTTTCCAGGTCCTTTGAGCAAGCGAGGTTATCTTGCGGCCACTTGGGTTCGTCGGGTGCCCTTGTACCTGCATGACGACACCCAGCTGCTGGTTCTGCGCCCCGCGGGCGCCGAGGAATGCTCCAGGTTTCGGAAGCTCTCCCAGAAGTAGCTCCCCTTTTTCAGCTGGCCAGGGGTCAAAATCCAAATCGTGGTGAACATCAACCAATCCAAGCACTAAAATAGGTTCCAAAATGGGTGGTGAATTCACCTACCGACGAAAATGGGATCCCATTGGTTTTGACCCACAGCCATTTTTGCTTTTCTGGGGTCCCCTTTGTTTTGTTCTCACCAGGCAAACAAATATTTGTTTGCTGAGGTTCCAAGTCCAGCCAAGGAAGAATGTCTTTGCCTATGCGGAGTCTCATGGCTTAGGGCAAAGTGGAGGAGGCTGGACGGATATTTACAATCCCGGGTCGCTGATGTATGAGCTGGGCTCACTGCTGTGTGTAGATGCTTCCCCGGAATTAGTTCCCCTGTTTGTGTTTTTTTCTTCCTTTTTTTGGGTCCCCTGGTTTTCCACGAACCAGGCACACACAAGATGTGTTCGATTTTTTTCCGCTGGGGTCCTGATTCCAAGGATGAGGGGGCCAAGCTGCCGAACCACTTCGTGGTGGACATCGAGAAGATCGTCCGAGATTGCATGTTGCTCTGCCCCGACGATGATGCATTGCCGGGCGAGGTTCTGCACGATGCGGGGCAAAATCCCATTGTCGCGTCTTCCATTGGCAACACCCAGCACACGCAGATTTCCAAGGCCTCAGTGGAGGAGTTTCCCCTGATGATGCAGCAGCAGTCGCCACGGTGGTGCGGCAGACTAGCTGCATTCTTGGACATAGTTCAGGTTGGGACGAGTGAGGATGCCTTCTTTGTGAGCGCTCATACACAGCAGCCAGATTCGAAGCCTCTCCTGGAGTTCTTTATCCAGCTTCGGCTTGACTACATGAAGGCCTTCGGCCGGTCGGTGGACTTCAACTGCACTTGTCATGCTTCAACCAGAGGGGGGTTTTATGTGACTTTGGCTCCGGTTGCTTGCATGCGCAAGATCAAGGTAGCTGCAGGCCAGGGCTGCTTGGGTTCGGACATGGATTACCTGAACCCCGACTCGGGGGACACGGTGACAAAGCTGGGCCTTCCAGTGGCAACCGTGGATTGCTCCCAGGGCAAGGGCAACGTCTTGTGCGTCACGCGGGAGCTTTGGGAGCGCTGCTTGGAAGGCCGAGCGCTGCTGAGCCGTCTCTATGACTTCAACCGAAAGCCTGGAGCGCTGGCGATTGCACAACACATGCTAGAGAAGATGCTGGAGTGAGTGTAGCACCTCCCTAAGGGAGGAGGTTTTCCAGATTGATATGGAACCCCGCAAGACATGAAAGTTTTAGGAGGGACTTCCCTGGGTTCCATGTTAGTTTGCAGAGGTGTAGATTCTTAGATGTGGCTTTTCTTTGCCTCCCTAAGGGAGGTAAAATTTTCCTTCTGTGCCACAGGCGAGAACAAGTGCGGCAGTATGTCACCATCAAACACTTGGACGAAAAAGGGTCTAGAGGCATTCTCGACAGCTACGGAGTGCTTTTTGGCAAGGCGAAGTGATGTGTAAAAGGCACAGAATAGAAAGTGGTACGACCTGTTAAACATGGGTAAATCTGGGACCAACACTCAGGTTTCTGAGACAACTTCAGCAGAATGCACCGGGGAGTTCCGGGTCAAATGCAGCTAAAGTGATGAAAACTGCAAAGGTCACAAAGATGGATCTCCCGGGTGCCCTCCTTCAGACTAACAGCCGGAAGCTCCCAGGACGTTTCTGGACTTGGTTCCATTTACAGAGGCCTTCTGAAACCCTTCCACGTTAGTCGGGAGTGTGGGCGTCATCTTGGTGTCATCGAACCTGCGTCGCAGCTGGATTTTCGGATTTGCGCCGAGAGCTCATTGGAAGAATATGTGATGGCCGATGCTAGGTCCAGCAATGGGTGCCCGACCTCTCACCCAGCTTTTTTGGTTGGGAGGGTTCGGGACCCAACTGAAATAGACTACAGAAACAAGTTGGTACCCGAAACCCATCTCTTTTCTGGAGGACCTAGAAAAGCACCACCCTGAGGTTTAGGGACCCAGCTTGACTCTCCTTGATCTATAACTGGGGTGTTCCATTTAAGACATAGAGGGAATCCACCTGAACCCCTCCAAGGAGTTGATTCCGGGTTCTCACACGCCGGTCCTTTTCCCTCTACGGTGTGCGTGACATGGAGCTTTCGGTCAGGCGCACGAGCTCTGAGATGGCGGCAAAAGGACCTCTGAGGCGAAAAAAGGCGGCGCAATTCTCTGGGTTTCATTTGGGCTTTTCCGAAAATCCAGTTTGTTCGAAGCCCGCAAAAATGGTGCCCCTGAAAAGTAGGATGTCTGCATGGTGTGGCAAGGTAGATGGGCTTAGCTTCTGGTTTCCGAGGATGGGCGCGTGAATTTTCAACTTGGGAGCCCAGCGACAGGAGCCCAGCGACGACGGCGCGCTGATGGTGCGGGCGCTGGTGCAGAGTGTTCAGGACCTCCGTTTGCTCATTCCCTTGGGCTCGGGCAATGCGGTCAATGCTTGGTGAACATCCAGGGCTGGTAGCAGTTTGGTGGTAGAGCAAAGGGGTATGTGTCAAAGTAGGGGGACCCCACAAATGGCGGAATTCCTGAAGCCAAGCTGAACCAAGGTGCCCTATGAAACCAACAAACACGCACAAACAGATACACAAACAGATACACAAACACAAACACAAACACAAAACAATCAAACAAAGAAACAAGCAAACAACAAAGAAACAATAAAACACAAAAGACACAAGCAACAAAGACAAACATAGAAAATAAACAAACAAACAATCAATCAAGCGATCAAACAAAAACAAGCAAGCACTCAAACAAACAAACAATCAAACAAGCAAACAAACAAACAAAGAAACAAAGAAACAAGCAAACGAAGAAACACAGAAGCAAAGACACAAAGAAGCAAAGAAACAAAGAAACAAAGAAATAAATAAACAAAGAAACAAAGAAACAAAGAAACAATTAACCAAACAAACAAACAAACAATCAAGCACGCAAGCACTCAAACACGCAAACACACAAACACAAACAATCAAACAAACAAGCAACCACGCAAACACACACACACACACACCCGCACACAAGCACACACACACACAGAACAATAGCATAAGCAGACGCAAACGCAAGCACACAAACACACACATGAACACAAGTACAAACGCAAAAAGAAACAAACGCAACCAAGAACACACACACACACACAAAACACACGCACACACACAAAACACACGCACACACAAAACCCACGCACACACACACACACCAACAAGCACACACACAAACACAAACACACAACCACAAAAGACACCCACAAACACCCACAAACACCCAAACACACAAACACACAAACACGCAAACACACAAGCAGACATACACACAGCCACACAAATGAGCAAACACGCAAATCAACAAAAACAAATAAACAAAGAACATAATACGCAAACAAACAAACAAACAATCAACCAGTCATTCAAACAATCATACCATCAAGCAAATAAAGGAAGCACCAAATAAATGAAAGAAGCAACACACACACACAGACTCTCACACACACAGACTCTCACACACAGACTCTCTCTCACACACACACACACGCAGCACGCACGCACGCACGCACACACACACACACCCACGCACGCACGCACGCACGCACGCGCACACACACACACACACACACACACGCACGCCCGCCCGCCCGCCCGCCCGCCCGCCCGCACGCACGCACGCATATACACACACACACACCCACGCACACACACACACATACGCACGCACGCACGCACGCACGCACGCACACACACACACACAGACACACACACACACAGACACACGCGCGCGCACACCACACCACACACACATGCACACGCACGCACACGCAAACGCACACGCACACGCACACGCACACGCACACGCACACGCACACGCACGCACGCACACACACACACACACGCACACGCACACGCACACGCACACGCACACGCACACGCACACGCACACGCACACGCACACGCACACGCACACGCACACGCACACGCACACGCACACACGCACACGCACGCGCACACGCACACGCACACGCGCACGCGCACGCGCACGCGCACGCGCACGCGCACGCGCACGCGCACGCACACGCGCACACACCACACCCACACCCACACCCACACCCACACCCACACCCACACCCACACACACACACACACACACACACACACACACACACACACACACACACGCACCCACAATATTACATCAATGCAAGCTTTAGGCTTCAGCATTGACCAAACGAGTTTGCTTGAGCAGGGTGAGTTCTTCTTGGGGGACGAAGTAAGCAGGGATATGGATTGCTTATCAACTCAGCTCTCGAGTGGCACACTTGAAAACTTTTTTCGGGGTAGGCAGTGATGGGCTCGTGGGTGGCACCAACCAGGAAAACAAACTCTGCTTTCGCAAGGGATTTGGCATGGCAGATTGGCAAGACACACACACAGACTTGTACCAGGCAACCCCTGCCCCTCGAAAAAAGGTTGAGAATAGTTTTCAAAGATCCCCCAGACGGAATGCGATTCTTTGTGTCCAAGCACTCCTTGTCAATCTGCCAAGACACATTCTTGGGTTTGCGATTGGTCCTTGAACTTTCGGAGCCTGGGAAGCTTTAGGGTGCAAAGGGACCATCAGAGCCAAGCGCGTAGCTGCTTTGACTGGACAGTTTGTTCGATTTTATCAGCAGTAGCAGACCCAACAAACCTATGGTTGCCGTTTAGTTTCCCATGAAGCGTCAGCCAACAGGGTTTCCCCCCATCAACAGGAGCAAGAAATTTGGGCTTGACTCCGCAGCGTCGGTTTTGTGATGGGTGTATAACCTTAACAAGGCTCATTCACTCCAGACCCTAACCTTGTACGCCTTTGACCCTGCAACATCCTTGGATCTGCTTTTTGATTGTGACATGTTTCACCTCTCCTTTGAATGGAAAAAGGAACCGGCCACTGCTGGGAACAATTGTGCTGTTGTCAGTCAACTTTCGCAACAGAGGGTTGCAAAACTCGCTGTGGGAGCGCCGAAGACTTTGCTTGTTTTACCGCATTCCCCAAACGGAGCCCGAAGGCATTCCCGGCAGTCCGTGAGTTTAGAAAGAGTTATAAGTGACTCGGGGCCCCTTTGACCTGAAAGACTAGAGGACGATTCGCCCGAAAGCATTTTTCCCCAAGCGCCCTTCCAGCCGCGGAGACACCTTTTTACATCGATGCCGCGAGCGTGTCTGCACGCGGCGACGCTCAATGTGTATGGTCACATGAGAGCTCCATCTCATCGTCCTACGAGAGTGGAAGCATGGCAGTGTCTGCGCAAGCTGCATTGTTCCAGGCTGCTGCGCGCAAGTTGCTCTCTGCAAGCTGCTGCACGCAAGTGGCTCGACATCTGTCTTCAAGCTGTTCTGTGCACGTTCTCTGCGCAAGTTTCTCTCCGCAAGACGCTCGGCCCTTGTATCTGTGCGCAAGATGCTCAGCCTGAGCTGAGCTGTGGAAGTGCTCCGCGCACTCTACGTCTGCGCCGCCTGGCGCACACTCCACATGCTACGGATTCTTTGCTTAAGCCGGAGCACCAGGGGGATCGATCCCGCGACCGCGCGATTGCGAAAGCAGGCGCGCAAACTACGAGACAACTTCCAAAGGCCGTTTCGCGAGAAGTAAAATCGCACGGCGCCACAGCGAGAGCGCTTCGACACACGATCTCTGCAGAGGGTTCGCCGAGACTAAAGCGAATTCGGGCATTCTTTGCGCAAGAAAGCGAAGGAAAGAAAGAACGAGGGGCAGAGAAAGGGAGGGCCTTGCGCCCTGCCTCGCAGGCGCTGCGGAGAAGATGAGGGCGCAAGGGCAGCAAAAGTCAGAAGCTGCGCAAAACACTGCGGCCTCTTCGACTGGTCGCCCAAATCCTAAAGAGGTCGCCCGGATCCAAAAAAAGTGTTGGCTTTTTTCCCCTTGACCACTTAATAGCTGAGTCAAGTCCGGTGGACATTCAAGTATGGTCATCCCGAGAGTCCTTCGTGCAGCATTTGCCAGGAGAAGATCACAGAGCTGTTGCCGAAGCAAGCGATGGCCGGATTCGGGGCCCCGGATGTGTTTGCAAACCGAGAGATGGGAACAAATAAGAGCCTAGATAAATAGTTAAGATTGGTTATGGGTCAAAATTCAACCACCAGGAATTGGACCGCAGGTTTTAGTCCATCATTACATTTACAGGGCTCCATTTTGGATACATTTTTAAAATTCACAGCTCATTGGCTTGTGGGGTACTTGAAAACCATTGCTAGTCACAGGAGAACATGTGCGCAATTTGAGCCCGATTGAATGAGGACAGCCGACTTGCCTTGAGCATATCCGTCTTGATTTTGTGGTTGCCTCTATCTGGTTTTGACCCTTGGCAAGGACTCGCATCAAAAGGAACTTGAAGACTCGGTACCAAACCTTCTGATCCTCGGCCTGTTTGGCCGAACTGCGATTCACCCCCCTTTTGACATCCCACATCCCCACTTTCCGGGTCGTCCTCGGACGAGTTTGGCATGCCTCCAACAGGGTTCCTGAAAGGATACATCCAAAAACAACACTTTTACAGGGGATCTTGTATGTCTGCTGGTAAAAACGATCTTTAGCTGGCCCACATGTATCCTTAAAGCGACCCTGTAGGCCACCCGGCCCCTTTTGGGCTCCTTTTCACCTGAGTAAAGCATTTCTTCCTTCCACAACTCCCCTTAGGACAAGTCCCTGTAACTTTCGTGTTGTGGGAGCATGTTTGAATGCGAGACGGAGGGCTTCTGTTTGTGGGTGAGAACTTAGGTGGTCATGAAGCGTAATGGTTGGACTGCCCTCCAAACTGGTTGGTCAAACAACTGAAAAGTGATGTCCAAGAGTTCCGCCTAATTACCCACCTTCACGCCCTGAACAAGGTTTCCGCTTTGGGGTCTGGGCTTCAGGTCGGGGAATCTTGAAATGAAGGGCTTTCTGCCGTTGTGTCCCAATTGCTGAACTCGGCCGCCAGTCCCCCAATGTGGGAGGCTCACCACCATCGAGACCGCCCCACAGACGCTCTGGCGGGTGTCCATGATTCAATGAGGATGTACATTCCCCTTAAACCGCAACCCCAATGAAAAACGGACTCTCTCCCTCTCTCTCTCTCTCTCTCCACATATAAACAGAGCCCATAGAACCTTTAAACACTATATGCCGGCCATTTGCCTTGGGTCCCACCGGAAATGTTTTTCGAGCGTGGCAGGACAATCCGCCCTTCAGGACACCGATTTCGGGCCAAGCCGGTTTGTGTCAGGTTTGGTCAAAAATACTGGCCGATTTTTCCGGAAAGACATCGGGGGACGCGCTCTAAATTTCTGCCACACAAAAGAGAAAAGCTCGGATGTTTTTTCTTCATACCCTTTTGGGGAAGCACAGCTCATGTGAAAATACTCAGACTCTGCAAATGGGGAAGTGAGAGCTTCTCAAACAACGCGATCTCTGTATTGGATGGTGTGAGTAAGGGAAACCACAAGAATATAAAATCATTTTGAGACACTGGCGAAGGCTGGTTGGATTTCTCATAGGTGTCAAATGCGCGAGTAGGTATTCTTGCCACAGGGCACTCATATTGAGCCTATCCTTGAAATGCTGTGTCCAACTGGTTGATGTCTAGGTCCCCCAGCTAGGTGCCCTTTCTCACCCCTTTTTTGGTTGGGAGGGTTCCCCTACTAAAATAGACTGTACCCTTATTCTAACCCCTCCACTGGAGGAGTTTTGATGGGGAAAAAAAACGGCAGTGCGCGGGATCCTCTCTAAAGGTCCGGCTGGGAACTTGGATGCCCTAGGTATAGCTTTAGTATGGCCAATTACCAATACTTGGTTTAGTATTGCCACTTCCTGTTGGATTGCCAGTACTTAGATTAGTACGGCCAGTACCTGGTTTAGTATTGCCTAGTCTGAATTCAGTGCCAAGACTTACTCTCAAAGAAAAAGGCATAGCCCGTGAACAGGATCACTGGCTCGCTCCCGTAACCACCGAGAGCTCTAAGAGCTTGATCCTCTGAGCTGGGAAGGACGTAGATACACCACCCCTTTTTCAGTAAAATGCTGTTCATAGCTTTGATACATGGTAAGTTGTTTTTGTGTTTTGCCCGGAGGTACTGTTTTTTCACTGCTGAGAGGAGACACCAGTTGCCATATTGTGCATTTTGCTCAGATTGTTTGTTTGGAAAGGTTTTTATTTTGGGGGGTTTTAGCTGCTTTCTTGTGGGGCAATGTTTAAAGTGGACATTCATCACGTTGGCCACTGCCACCCTTTTCTTCAAAACTAGTCGGGTGCCCCAAAGTGTGTACCGGGTGCCCCAAAGTGTGTACCCCCCTGTTGCTGGGTTCCTTGTCTAAACATAATTTCTTTTGGGTCGCTCATTGCAACTGGGATTGTCAAACCCCCGGATTCCAAAAACTCAACCAGGAACCGGCGGCTGCCCTTCCCCCCCAACGCGGCACTCCTGGCAAGCGTCGGGCTCCCGGCGAAGCTGCTTCGCTCGGAGTTCAGGGGGTGTGGCTCGTCTTTTTGGGCCACGAAAATAATGGTTTGCCTTTTTCCCTTTGCAACCATAGACGCATTGAGGGTTCACTAAACATGGACCTGAATCAATCATATTAGTGTGGGTCAAAATTGAACCACCACACAGGTTTTCGTCCATATTTCCATTTGCCAGGGCAAGCCATTTTGGGGTTACCCTATTTTTGACCCACAGCCATATTAGTGTTGGTGGGGGAAAGGCGAGGAGCCTTGGGCGTTTCAGTGCGCTTCAGCAAGTGACGCCCTCAATGCGCTCAGGTGATCAGCCTCCGACCCCCTCCCCCCCGCCCCAAATGCAAAGTCTCCGAAAATGCTTCCCGTCATTGGGCCGAGCAACCCAAGATAGGATAAGCGACTCCTCCAAAGGCTCATAGTTTCCGCCAAACGCGGAGTCCCCATGTGGGTCTTGCCTATGGTTTCCCTGAACAACAAAAGCTGTTGCACCAGTGGGAACTTCACGGGACATAGATGATTTGAGACATTTTCCGGTGAAGGAAGATGGTCACCATTCCATCCCTCAACTATTGGCTTGCGTAATCTTAATTGGCCCTGCAAGTTGAAACGGAACTCCAATCCGGTACGCCTGAAGGAGATTGACTCTCCCCGGGTCAACCCTCGAGAGTTTGTAAGAACTGGCTGGTTTTCGTTGGATTTCATTTGTCTTTGTCAATTCCATCGGAGCTTGGTTCGACCTTTCACCTTTTGACCGCTGAGCAAGACTCAGATTCGGACGCTGGCTGGTTGACCTTCCCCGGACCTCCGCGGGTTTTTCCCAGCATGGTCCTCAAAATCGGTTCCGGCAAGAGCTCAGGACGAAAGGTTGATTTCTTTTCTTTTTTTCAATCAATTGCTATGATTCTGATATGTGCAAACTTGTATTTTAGTGTTCCCTCCTTTGTTTATTCTCACACACATGGTGTGGCCGATCAGAGTTGTGCTGTGTCGGTGGCTTCTGACGTTTCCTTCCTAAGTGGCCTTGAGATCCAGGTGGTGGGTGCCACCTTGATGCCGTTGACCGTCGAGGCGCCACATCGTCCCGTTGAGTTTCCTTTGGGGATGTGAAAAGGGGAAATTTAGGGACTGGCAGTGCCCAAAGCCTCAAACCTGCTTTGACTATCTCCCAGACCTCCGGGGCTTTCCTCTTTCGTTCATTTGCCTTTTTTTCAAGGGGGTGAACTCCCCCTGAAATTTCGGCGGATCTGGATGAAGTGAAGCTTTTCTCATGTCAGAGCCACAAGTCAAGGGGTTTGAGGCGCTCACTCGCGCCGATTCGAACAGCAGGTGGTATTCATGAACTCCGGACGATCCAAACGCTATTTGTAGTTTGGGGCAAAAGCCGAGGTGGGATCAATCCTTCTCGGAACATGTTGTTTTCACAAGAACGACTGGGATTTCTTTTGGTGTTTTCTCAGAGGTGGGTTGAACAAATTGGGGGTCAACCCATACAAAAAGTGGAACATAGGACTCGCGAAGGAGCGCAGTAGGCTTTGCAGGTCGCCCAGTGGCGGGGCTTTTGCTGCTGGACCACTTCCCTTGAGCGAAAGTCAAGTTGGAGCTGCCAAAAAGCTGCTTGAGAGCGGTCTGTCTTGCATTGCACACGTCGCAAGTTGTGGTTTCTTCAATAACGAAATCCAATGCGTGATGTTTGTGACCTGCAACCCAATGTAAATAGAAAAGCTCGGGCCGGCCCACCCGACCTGGATGGTCCGAAGAACCCTTCAAAGAACTTGTTCTAAACCTTTCCTCGGGGTTTGTTGCTCAACATGGTGCACCCCTTTTTGACGGGGTTTCCCAAAACGCCGTTCGGGGAAGATTCTCAGAATTTCAGATGCTTTCTCTTTTTTCACGGGGTTTCCCAACAGGAAGCCGTTGCCAGAGGTGACAGTTCGTTGGAGACGAGGTGCGTTCCGTGGATTCCTTCCCGGTTAAAACCTGAGTTTCTCACCCAAAGACCCGGTTTCATGCGCCCCACGCCTTTGTTGTTTTCTCCCACAAACAAACAATCAATCAATCAATCAATCAACCAACCAACCAACCAACCAACCAACCAACCAACCAACCAACCAACCAACCAACCAACCAACCAACCAACCAACCAACCAACCAACCAACCAACCAACCAACCAACCAACCAACCAACCAACCAACCAACCAACCAACCAACCAACCAACCAACCAACCAACCAACCAACCAACCAACCAACCAACCAACCAACCAACCAACCAACCAACCAACCAACCAACCAACCAACCAACCAACCAACCAACCAACCAACCAACCAACCAACCAACCAACCAACCAACCAACCAACCAACCAACCAACCAACCAACCAACCAACCAACCAACCAACCAACCAACCAACCAACCAACCAACCAACCAACCAACCAACCAACCAACCAACCAACCAACCAACCAACCAACCAACCAACCAACCAACCAACCAACCAACCAACCAACCAACCAACCAACCAACCAACCAACCAACCAACCAACCAACCAACCAACCAACCAACCAACCAACCAACCAACCAACCAACCAACCAACCAACCAACCAACCAACCAACCAACCAACCGCCTTCTCCTCTCCGCGGTTTTTCCCACGGCTCCGGTGGGGCGCTTCGTTTTGTCCGCGTCGGCTCGGCAGGAGCGCCAGCAGATCCTGGAGGCCCCGGACCTGGAGAAGCGGCTCCGCCTGGCGCTGGACCCCGATTCGTCGAGTGTTCGGTCGGGGCGAAGCGGGGGGATTTTTTTTGTTTTTTTGGTTTTTTTTCGGATTTTTGGTTTTTTGGAGGAAGACTTTTTTCAGGTCCCAGGAGAGATGGGTCCACAAGGATGTGGTTTTCAGGGGTTTTCAGGTAGAGATGGGTCCACGACTCCAAATGGGTCGGGTGGGAAAAGAAAAGAAAAGAGAGACCTGAGTCCAGAGGGGGATGGGTTGTGTGAGATATATAAATATAAGTACAAATTCGGAGTTTCTTCTAGAACCAAAGGATCATGCCTCAAGCACTTTGCTCCTTCTAACCAAATGGGTATGGGTCAAAATTAAACCACCAGGAATTGGACCGCAGGTTTTGGTCCATGTTTCCACTTGCCAGGGTTCCATGTGGGGTAGCGATTTTTGACCCACGGCCAAATGTCGCTGGAGGTCTGGGATTGTTCAAAGAGCACTTCAAGTGCTCATGACTGAGGATGGGTCTGAAAAGAACAGATAATCCGGACTTTCGTCTAGGAGAGATGGGCATGGGTCCAAATGAAAGGAATTGGACCGCAACTTTTACTGAAATGGCAAGCCATTTTCCAGGGCAATAACACACCATATGGGTATGACTCCACAGGATGGGTCGGGCGAACAATAAAATAATATATATATATATAATATATATATATGTATATATATATATATAAATCCGGACCTTCTTCTAGAACCAAACAACAAAAGGGCACGGCTTTTTGGGGGGACCCCCCAAAATGCAAACAGATTGTTGTGCCTTGCCGAAAGGGGGGGGATCATCGGATCGATTCCATCGAAACCAACGAGCTCCCATTTTTTTGTTGGGGGGGAACTCTGTGTGCAGATGGATGCCTCGGCAGTTTTGAACACCGCCCAAAAAGGCAGCCTGTGGATGGACGAACTCCGGTGGTGTATCGCAGTTGTAGGGTTTCATCCATCCCAAGTGACAGTCTCAACGCTTGGCTGCTCTTTGGTTCCGCCTTCAAGTCACTTTTGTGAGGACGACCCAAGTTCACGCCGCCGAGCGCGGACGGTTTTCAGCCTTTTGAAGCAGAGGATGTAACGGCGACGAATTTTAATGGGGAACCCCCTGACAAGTGGTGGACAGAGCAGCCCCCACCTAAATTTGATGTTCGCCTCCGGGCCCCCCACTAAGGTTCAGACCCAAGTTTACCCTCCGGGATCTCCATTTAAGCCACGAAAAGTTCGTCGCGATCTGAAAACGGACAGCCCAGTTGGGTCTTTCATGTAATTCGTTGCTTCAGAGTGTTGCCAGGACTTTCTCCAGCGAGAGACGCAGGCGAAGCGGATGTCTTCTCAGATCTCCGAAAGTATCCAGAGGCGGAGCAACCGCGAAGCGCGGGAATTCACAGCGTTGCTAGGGACCCTTGCCATTTCGAAGCGCTCTATGTTGCAAATATTGATTCTAGCATGCCTGCCCAGCTGGACCACACTACTTCCTGCCGAGTCAATCCGGCCCTAATTAGCACTGCCTCCAGGGAACCAATGTGTTTCTTTGAGCAAAAGGAGGCGCGAAAGCGGGAGGCAAGCTACAACCCCGCGACTGAACACACGAAAGAAGACCCCCCCTATGTCAAATTGTGGGGTTTCATCAGCGCGGTGGTTGCTTTGCGAGAAACCCTTTGGTTCTGGGTTGCCAACCCTTTGTAATGCCTTGCTCTTAATTAATAACAGGCGTATTTCTTTTGAAAGGTGGGCCGTGACTTCGGCCCGGTCCTCTTCAGTCCTCTTGGTCCTCTTTGTTTCAATTCAGTCCTCTTCGCCCCTTTCCAGGCCCGATCGTTCAAAACAGCACATTTCTGGACATCGGCTGGGACCAGGACAAATCGCTGATGAATGTGGCTGAGAACTGGCCCAATTCAAGTTTGACTATGAACTTCGGGGTTTGAGAACGCTTGTCTTGTTACCTAGGGGGCCCTGTTGTAGGTGGGAGGCTTGTTATGGTTTCGTGTTTTCCCCTTCAAAAGAAGAGCGCGAACCACAGGCTGACTTCAGTGGGCTCAGTTTCCAACATTTATGCGGCTAGAGAGCTGGTTGGTCATCATGATTGCTTCATCTGTAGGGGTCGTGGGCGAGCATGAGAGCCAGAATCAAAATCAAGATTTACCAAGCTGAACATGAATCCTTTTTAGCTGATGTACGAATAGAATAGGGAAGAATTCCTAATAATCTCGTTAAGGATATTCAATCCATTAAATGTGGTAATTATAATGGTAGAAACTATTCCTAGCCACATGTTGATCCTTGAACATGGGCTTCGGACTCATGTTTGTCACTGGTTTGATGACCCTGGGATAAGTGACCCCTGAGTGGGGACTACAACCTCCAGCTATCGTGTGATTCCTTTCTTCCGAACGACAAGGCAGATTCATGATGGGTGTTGGTCAAGCTGTCGAACTTGCATTTTTTGGGCCTTTTATGATAAGTTGACTCCAGATTCTGGGCGGAAAAAAAAAACCAAAAAAAAAAGAAAGAAAAGCACCGTGGATTCCACCACCCACCCAAAACATTGGTAGGTCTCACCCCTTGCATTTGAACCCCCACCTGTCGGTGGTTTCCCTCAATCATTCTCAGAAGGCAACAGCCGGCGGCTTCGCGACTTGGGGAACGGAGGGATTCGGAGATTCCAAGCCACGGCAGACATGACGAAGAACTTGGCTTTTTCGCCGTCCGGTTCCTTAGGTCCTTAGCATTTTTTCGCACCTTTTGGGGGTTTTGTTTCCATTTCTCCCACGAAAAGTGAGTCACTTTTAGCAGATCGGACAACGGGCAGCCCAGCACTTTCGCAAACCACCCATTTCCCTCTAGCTTTGGAAGGGCCATGTAAGACTTAATGGGGAAGGCAGCTACGGACATGGCGGGAAGCTCGTTCACGGCACGGTTGTGCAAGCTAGGGTTTTACAGTTTTCTTTTGTGACACCAACAAAATCCCTTGAAAAGCGGCAATGTAGTCGCGGGAATGGTCAATTGTCCATGCATCCAATTCCATCATGCGCAGTGATGGCTCGTTCTCTGTCCCGCAGGTCTCGAGATCAGGAGATGAAGCTGGTCCATCGCCGCGTGTTGCGAAGGGAGGGCCTGAAAACCTTATGCCTCGGCGGACCCCGCGAGTCGACCGGAACTCCTCTTGTGAGTTGGTCTCATAGGTGTCATAGACCATTTTGGTTGAACATAGATTGCGAATGCTTTCGTCGGTTGCAGTTTGGTTCTAGTGATTGACTGCAACTATTGCTTTAAAACGGATACCTAGGGTTAGCTAGTCTATGTTCTGTTGTTTTTGTTGACCGCTTGGTAAATGGGCTATGATTAGGCTATACTGTTCCAATTTTATTCAGGGATCCTTTATCAAGAAGACTGTGGGAGCGCTGGGCATCTGTCGTCAGTTTGACCACAATGAAACTCCACCGACTTGGTAGGCTGATCCATGCCACGACTCGGATCGGGGAGTGATTGATTCATTGATACCCCATAAGCCCTGAGCTCCTTGACGCTCAAAATACGTCACTTGGCCATGGTTCAAAGCCAATGGGATCCCATTTTGGGATAGGTGCACCACCCATGTTAGTCTATTTTAGTGGGGATTGGGATGTTCACTGGGGGTACGGGGCATGGCCACTTAAGTTTGTTGAATCATATTTCCAGCTTGTTTGGCCAGGCATAGGTGGCTAATGGTGATTCAATTTGATCCCTTTGCAAACAGCCATCTTCAGCGAAGCGCATCGGCCCGCGGGCATTTCATGCGGTATGTCAAGGTTCCGAGCGTCAATTTGGTGGAGTGATGTGTAAAGGTCGGAACAAGTTGGACTGCGGATGGTTGCGAAATCCATTTCGCACCGCCTGGAAACCAAGGGAAACCACTGTTTGTTGGCATTTTACAGGGAGATCGTCATTTTTCAGGGTTTCTTAGGTGGTGCGAAATGGATTTCGTCCATCCACATCATCCACAGGGGGAGCCCTGTGTCTGGCGTTTTCATGGCTGTTCTTCCCCACCTTTTTCTCGTTTCCGATTTCGCTGGCTTGTTGCCTTTGGCCTCGCTGAACCATTTGTTCCCTGCTTCTACCGTTCATGCCTTTGACTTGTTCATGCCTTGGGACCGGTCAGTTTCATCCTGTTTATTGAGGAGAGGTGAGGGGAGTTGGGGCGATACCTTTCGTCGGCCGGGCCTGAACGTTCAGGTAACGGTAACCCTGCGTCGTTTGAATAGCCACCCTCCGCTCAGAACCACCAATCAGGGTGCCGTGGAGACTTCAAATGCAGAAGTTGGGGAGGGAAGCTGTTGAAAGAGGTATGGGGTTGTTTCGCAGTGTTTGGGGATTCAACCGTACCCCTTGGCTTAGATGGGAAGGCACCGTCTAGCCTCCAAGCCTCCAAGCCTCCAATCTCAACCACAGGGATCCTCATCACTTTGGCCGATTTAGAAGCTGAGACGCTTAAAGCATCCCTGAACCAGAACTTAAACAAAAGCACTCTTGTTTGTAGAGGAATCTCGGTAGTCCTGGTATATGTTCGGGAACCTTTGTTTGGCGGACCGCCTTTTTTTTCGGGCGACCCGGTTTTTTGGCGGAGCCTTTTTTTTTGCTTCGGGGGTGCGGGGCTTTCTTGGGGGTTCAATATGAAAAAACCCTACAGGGAGGGTTGCCAGGCCACCCTGCAGCGTCAGGCGCAGGAGGCCGGCCCCGCGTCGCGGGGTTTTGGGGGTGGGGGTTGGTTTGCCTTGTGCGATGCGCGGAAATCACGAGACAGTGGTTCGCAACGGTGTCCCGTTAAAATCTGCCAACCAGGGGCCTGTTTGTTTCCCATGGCCACTGGGCGTATTGGAAGTAGATGGCGAAGAAAAACCCTGATGGAAGCTAACGGAAGGATTTTGGAAGGACAGTCATTTGTTTAGATCAGTTTCGCTCCACTTTCATCATTCAGAGTACAGACTTGCACTGACCGCGCCAAGTGTAAGGGCTGCGAGCCTGGCCAAGCAGGGGCCGTCGCACAGACCCTGCAGCATTGTGCAAAGTTATTGAGGCCCAATTTTGTTGCCAGCCTGCAGATGGATGTCCAACTGATATTCCTGCAATGGACGAATGCCAGGCTGCCACAAAGCGCGCGGTTCCTGGGGGAGCTTCCTTGAACTAAGTTGTCACGAGGATGGGAATCAAGTACTTTGAAATGACAGACAGGTTGAGCACAATCCATGTGAAACAGCCATCTAAGCACTTCGGTGAACGCCATAAAGAGGAGGAGGTGCAAGCTGTGTGTCGCCACTGTGTCGTGCTTGTTTGCAGATGTCTTCCATTTGCTGAAACCAATATTTTTACTTTCCCGTGTTGGTTTTAAAGGGAATCTATCACTACAAGATTTTTTTTCCAGGGGACTTCAGCAAAGGGAGGATGTTCTAATTGCAAAAACGGACCGTTGCCACGCGGCGTTGTGAAATTGCGCGCCATTGGCCGTTGGGCCATGCAACTGGAATTGCACACGGCCGTTCACCCGACCTCGCTTGTCGATGAGGGTCGGAACCCCTTCGATCTTCAAAACCCTGGAAAGTTTGGGTATGGATCTGTTCCGGAGAGAAAACATGGGGAAATCCTTGTCGACCGTCCACATTCCTCAGCATGTCTGGCTTGGAAACCCATAAAAACCATGGGCGCCCCTCGGCAATCTTTGCACATTTGGGGAAGGGAAGTCTCGGAACCCAGGCAAAGCTCTTATAATAGGAGGCCACCGTAAGCCATTCGGCAGTTATACGAATGCACTCCCTTGCTCGTTCTGTACATCGAATGTGGGAAGATCCCCAGCCACACACAAGCACATGCACAAGCACCCGCACCCGCACCCGCAAACGCACACATACACACATACACACATACATACACACATACACACATAACACATACACACACACACACACACATGTACACACAGACACACCCACACACACAAACCCTGAAACACAGCTGTTTTTTTTTACGGACCCCAAGTCTCCGTTCAACGTTGCCCTTGACTTCGCCAGATCCAGCAACAGCTTCAGCGGCTGCAGCAGAAGAAGGAGACCAATTTGCTGGTTGTTAGGGAATGTCACACTGGCCTTTTGAGGCTTAGTGCTCGGACCTATCCCCCAAGGTGGTTTCCTGTGGTGAGGTTCTTGTAAGGCGTCCCCTCCAGGTTGGCGTGTGTGGGGTTTCCCTTCAAAGCATCGACAAAGACGAGGGTCCCCATTTTCCCGTGTTGAGACAAGAGCAAACCTGCCTGTGCTTTCGCTGCTTTTTCTTTTCCTGGCTGGCTTTCAACTTGCATGACTGGAAGATGCGTGCTGGGCAGAGGTGAACCGTTTCACTATCAAGAAATCAACTTTTTGCAGGGGGGTAGATCGAACAGCCCAGCTGCAGGACAAACACTCCGACAGCGAAGAAGGCGATTTGGGTGCCGTGGGTTTGCCGGTGGACCGCGTTGTTTGTGCGTAGAACCTGGTCAAACGGCTCCAAAACTATGAAAAGGGCCCGCTTCCTGACTGTGTCGAAGTAACAGGAGACCAACCAGTTGTAGGGGTCCATGGGCAGTTGTTTCTTCTGTCAGGCCAAACTCCTTCCGGTGGAGAGGGGGGTCCAATGATGCGTGGGGGAATTCATTTTAATTCACAGACTCACATTGAACATGTGTGCTTGTCAAAATTGGCTCCCCTAATAAAAAAGTTTCCTTTTTTAGTTTCCTTTCAAGAATCAGCCAAAAGATGGCCCGCCATTGTTTTGAGAAGCACTTATATCCTTCAGCAGAAACAGCCATGGAGTGGGTCTTGGGCCAAACTAGCGTGAGTGTGACGAATTGGGGACCAAAAGTTAGGCCCCAACTCATGTCAAGCTTCTCTCGTTGTGGTGTCCACTGCGATGCAACCCAAAAGGCAAAGGAATGTCAGCCATTTATTTGACAAGTTTCCCCTTCGATTTCTGCCTCTTTCTTGCGATTGAACCGAGAACTCAGCCACACGCCTGGGTGTGGCAGCTTGTCCTGGTTTCTTGGAAACCTTCGTTGATTTCAACTCCAAGCAACAAACACGGGGGCCCCTCCCCTCCCCGCCCGCCCGTTTCATTGGCCGAGCCCCCTTTTTTTTTTTTCCTTCGAAGGCTCCGAAGATGAGGACGAGGTGGCCCGCCTCAGCGAGAGGCTCGCCAAGGCGCTTTCTGGGGGTGATCAAAGTCAGGAAATGGTTGGTTGTTTCCCCAGTCACCCAGTTAGGGGTGACTTTGATCATGGTGAAATCATGAGGCCAGTTGGGGTCCGGGGGGCAAGAACGTGGGTGTGTCTTACCTTGGTGGCTCCCAGCCATCCAGTTCCTTAGCTTTTTAGCCTTTTAGTTTTTAGTGGTCGTTTCCATTTAACCCACTAAAAGTTAAACTGTTAGCGGGGATGTGCGGGCAGCCCAGTTACTTGTCAGAATTGCGTTCCCCGATGGTTTCGGGTGAGCCCCGACACTTCTGAAGATCTTACGCAGGTCTTAAATGGAGTACACAAGCAACACAATGGATTTATAACTTGCGGAAATCTTCGGCGGGCTCAAAGAAGAACCAAAACACAAGGCAAGCACAGCTAAATATACTACCGAAAGAAAGTTGGTACCAACTGATTCTAACCTCTCTGGAGGACCTAGCTGGGTATGGGTCAAAATTAAAGCACCAGGAATTGGACCACAGGTTTGAGTCCTTGGTTCCATTTACTGCTCCAAAATCGATACCCATGTTTGACCCGCCAGCTGTAAACAACCAGGCGCTCCAGGCGCTTGACTCAAGGGCGCTGCGTGCTCGCCGCGAGGCTCAGTTGCCGGAGGAGGCGGAGAAGCTGGCCAAGAAGGAGCTGAAGCTGGGGCCCCACTCGGCCATCCGATTCCTTAGCTTTTTGGTTGTTGAGCTTTTTGGTGTTTAGTGGTTGGATTTCCATTTGACCCACTAGAAGTTAAAGTTTTAGCCGGGGGATATGAGATTCACGTGGCAAGCCCAGCCATCCGATTTCTTTGGTGTTTTGGTTCGCCAGCTTTTGGTGGCAAGCCCAGCAAATCGTCTTTTGCCGACAAATGGCTTTAGTTGGCTTTTAGTTGGCTTTTAGTTGGCTTTTAGTTGGCTTTTAGTTGGTTTAGTGGTTTGGGTTTTCCATGTAACACACTAAAAGTTGAGCTGGATCTGAAAACGGGCAGCCCAGATGAGTCGATTCATCAAGGGCGATGAACAAAGCTTTGAGCTGGCCGAGCTTGGAGGTACGAGCGAGCACCCTGCTGGGTCTTTTACCTGGGGGCGTTGTAGGTGGAGTTAGGGCAACTCGCCCGGATGGGCGCAGCAGATGTCAAGGCGCAGCAGCGACTCTCTGAGTTGTTGGGCCCTTTCTGGGCCAAGAACGATGCCTTCTGCTTGGGCTTTCGACGACCGACGCCCATCGCAAGGGAAGCATTGCAAGGCTACCCCCTTTTGGTTGGTTTTAAGGGGAAACCAAAAGGACAACCACCATTTTTGGTGGGTTCCCTAAAAGACACCTTTTACAGCCACCTATAGAGTGGTTTAAGCACCGGGCTTGCGATGAGGCGCTTGAAGAGCCTTCAAGCGCACCACCCGGAGTACTCCTCCGTACACAGCGGGGGGGCTAAGGCGGTATCCCCAAGCTGCCCTAAAGCACCGCTCCGGCGTGGGCAGAGACCAAAGAAACTTTTTCAGCTGTTGGGAAAGAACAAATATTGAACAACGACCAGAAGCCATAATGACACGTTGGGAAGAGACCAGAATCTGGTTGGGAGACATTGACAAAATATGTTGACCAGAATCTGAAAACTCTTATATATTTTTTGCACTCCACATTTGGTTCAGATATGCTCTGCTTCTTGCAGGCCAACCCGTACAACAGCTGAGCGATGGGTCCTCGTAATCTCCATGGTCCATCCTTTCCCTTAGTCAATTGCAAACCAGTATGTTTATCTTCTAAGTTTCCTATTGGTAGCTTGCCACGTCAGAATTTGGGGCATTTGCGCGGTCCGTGATATGCATTGAAGTGGGGCGATGTTTCGGTCGGACATTTCGGGAGGCCTGTTTGACAGCCACCCCGAGACCTGCTCCCAGGGCCTGTAAATCAGTTTGTGCGTGGTTGGTTGGATAGGTGGCCTGGATATTTTAACCTCTCCACTGGCTGAAAAGTGGCCAGCTGCCGGCGCCTAGGGGAGGCAGGGGGGCATGGAAGGTGACTTCGGCACTTGGCATCCTCGAAATTTCTCAGCCCCCCGTCACTTGTCCTGTTGTTGCGTGGGCCAAAAAATTGCGTGACGGCATGGTTTTCTTCCACCCCAACTGACTTCATGACTCGGTCTGTGAAGGGGTCAACTGTTGGGTCACGGCAGGAGCTTCCCTGTGACTTTGAGGCTTAATCGGAAGCCCCGTTGGCAAGGAGACCAACAGGCATAGGTGTCCTTTTTGATGGGTTCCGATTCCTGGTTTACCTGGCGGTTTTTTCTCATAAACCTAGAAAAATAGATGGGTTCCCCTGGCTTACCTGCCGGTTTCATCATCTACCAGGGAAACCTAGAAAAATAGATGGGTTCCCCTGGTTTACCTGGCGGTTTTTTCTCATCTACCAGGGAAGCCCATCGATTTCCCCTAAACCGGCGTTGCTTGGCCGTGCCTGCCCGGGTTCTCGAGGCTACTTGGAGCTCTTGGCCGGCCTTCCATGGCAGACCTGCACCGAGGCATGGGAGAACGCAGTGATTGAGGTCCGTGATCCATGGGATGAGCCACTAACCCCAAAGACGAACCCCAGATTCCCAAGAGTATCACAGAACTGAAGCTGAAAAATGGTGGCTTCTCTCCTATCAACAGGTATGAGGTTGATCAAAAGGCCCGTGATACATGGGATGAGCCACTCACTTGGAAAGCCGCTAACATGATTTCTCTACTGCTATTGGGTTAGATCTGATCTGACTTAAACTTTTTGGTTGAAATCATTTGGGTGGGGTTTTCTTTTATGGTTTTCTTTTAGGGTTTCCTTTAAACCCACAAAAAGTTGAACTTTTTGCAGAGGGGTCAACAGCAACCAAGATTTGACTTTTCAACCACATGGGGGAAGTTACCCGGGATCATTTGGGGGCCCCTTCCGGAATATTGATCAACCCCATTTCTCTGGGCAAGTGTCGTCCTTTTGGAAATCCCCGTCCCCCGGTGTTGGTTTTTGCAGCGAGGTGATGTCCCAGACCTTCCAACCATTTTGTTTGAGGCATGGATGTGATCAGCCTCCATCCTTTCAGCTGGGGGTCGTTCGACCCGAAAATAACCATGGTCACTTTTGCCATGTAGCGAGCGAGCGAGAGCCGCTTATCTAGGTCCCCCAGCAATTGGTGCCCTTTCTCACTTTGCTTTTTTGGTTGGTTTTGGGTTCGGGACCTAAAATAGACCAACAAGCAAAAACTTGGCGCCCACTTCTTCTAGCCTCTCAAATCTGGAGGACCCACTTCTTCTAGCCTAAAAGTTGGCACCCACTTCTAGCCTCTCTAATCTGGACCTCGCGCTTTCAGGACAACTTCGACCTGCAGGAGGCCCGCAGGGTGCTGGACGACGACCACCGCGGCCTCGAGAAGGCCCGTCGCTTACGATAGTACACAGTCTTGTTGGCATTTGCAGGGAAGCCATCAGAAAAAAACAGGTCTCGGGCATTGTTGCCATTCAGTGTGCTCTTTGACATTGTACGTGTTTGGAAATAGCAATCTTTCCACCAGCGACAAGTCAAGCGTTGTTTGCAAGGTGTCACTCGGACCCTAACGCCCCCCCCCCCCCCCGCTCGAGAAAAGTTCTGCAAACGCCTTTCGTCGAAGGAATCGATTCTGATCCGGGTTGGGCAAACGGTGCTTGGGTCATGTGCGTTTTGGTCCTTGTTAAAGGGAACACACTAGGTCCCCCAGTAGTGCCCTTTCTCACCCTTTTTTGGTTGGGAGAGTTCCCCTACTAAAAATAGACTACAGAAAAAAGTGGGTACCAACTTATTCTAACCTCTACTGGAGGGCCTGGACAGGAGGTTGCTGAAGCAACAGTGGTTTGAGCCACGTCTCAGCCAGGGGCTTCACCCGGGCAGATGTCTCGCAGGTCAAGGTGCGGATCTTGGAGTTCCTGGCGGTCCAGAAGATGCGAGGCACGAACCGATCGCAACGGAATTGTTCGGTGGTCAGTTGTTCGTTCCGAAATAAAAACAAAAACAAAAACAAAAAAGAACGGGTGAGCCACTGAGCCACTGGCTCGTTTTTTTTGGGGGGGGGATTCATTCCACAACTTCCTGGCATCAGGGGGGCATGCCACTTTTTGGCTTCACTCCAAGAAAGAAGGGAACTCAGGAGGGTCTCTTTTGCTGGGTTCATTGGCTTACCCGCTGAACAGAAGGAATTCCTGGTTAGGACTCGGAAATTTTGGCGGCATGCGGAATAAAGGGGGGGTTAGAGGCCTTGGGATGAAACCTCCAATCAAGGAGAAGCAGCTTCATGATTCTTCATCTTTGGAGTGCAGCGAGGGTTCAAGAGGTGATTGCAAGGTGTCCCGCAAAAATGAACCCGGAAGAAGAGACCCTCCTGAGCCACTGGCTCAAAACCCGGGTAGAAGGTTAGTAAGGGCCAATCCCAGCCATAAATAGCTGCGGATATCCGCCTTCTTGATTCTTGAAGCATGGTTCTGGGTTCACCATGTTAATTCCGGGTTTTGATTGTGGCTCTCCTTAGCTTGATGATGGGTTACCTTCTTGTGAAGCCCAGACAGTGGGGTCCCCCTTTGAGTCTTGAACCTCGGTGAACTCCAGGTAAGCCAACGGATGCGCCCGAAGGCCTTATGGGATAGCCCCATCTCCCCTAACTTCCAATTGGTTAAGATTATGCTTTATTTTCCCCTGTTGGTTTAAAAGGGAATCTATCACTACTGGACATATTGTTTTTTTCCAGGGGACGAAAACACAAATGGAGGCAAACCCCCCCCCCCCTCCCCGGAATGGTCTTGCCAGGACCCCCTCAGGCAGGATCGCCATGGATATCCGCGCCAAGTGGCTCCAAGAGGAGTCAATCCAAGCAGTCAACCCCCATGAACCAGACGGTGTCTAGGGTCACCATAGTTGGCTAGGTCCCCCAGCTATAGATGCGCTTTTACCCATTGTTTTTTGGTTGGGAGGGTTCGGGACCCTACTAATATAAAAAAAAGAAAAATCGGGTACCAACTTATTCTCACCTCGCTACTGGAGGACCTAGTTGGAGCCTGAGGCCTTCTTGAACCTACTGACTATGAGATGTTTGCAACGGTTGCATAGCCGGATTTGCAAGCACACTAGTACATGCGTGAGCACGCTTCATGGACAAGATGAGAGGCAACGCAGGCAACGCAATCAGACATGGCTGTGGCTCAAAATAAAACAGGATAATTTCGTCCATGTTTCCACCTACCAGGGTTCCATTTTGGTACTTCTTTTTTTTGAGCCACACATGTCGACGAATGCCGCAATTATTTTTTGCAAAAGCAAGCCAGAGCCGCATAGAAGCCGGCCGCTGCCCGAGAGCGGGGCGTAGAATCGTAGACTTGTGCTCGGCACTCATGCAATGGAGATGGCAAGCCGGAAGCGGAAGCGGCTCTGGGGCAAGCAGACCAGCGAGGCGGGGCATGTGGTAAAAATATGATCGTTTAGTTAGTTTGTTTGCTTTATTGCTTGTGTGTTTGTTTGTTTGTTTGTTTGCTTGCTTGCTTGTTTGTTTGTTTGTTTGTTTGTTTGCTTGGTCAGTTCGGGTTTGCTTGCTTTTTGTTTCTGTGTTTGTTTCTTTCTTTCTTTCTTTCTTTGTTTCTTTCTTTCTTTCTTTCTTTCTTTCTTTCTTTCTTTCTTTCTTTCCTTCTTTCTTTGCTTGCTTGCTTGCTTGCTTGCTTGCTTGCTTGCTTGCTTGCTTGCTTGCTTGCTTGCTTGCTTGCTTGCTTGCTTGCTTGCTTGCTTGCTTGCTTGCTTGCTTGCTTGCTTGCTTGCTTGCTTGCTTGCTTGCTTGCTTGCTTGCTTGCTTGCTTGCTTGCTTGCTTGCTTGCTTGTTGGGTTGGGTTGGGTTGGGTTGGGTTGGGTTGGGTTGGGGTGGGTTTGCTTGTTTGTGTTTGTTTGTGTTTCTTTGTGTTTGTTTGTTTTGGATTGTTTGTCTTGGATTGTTTGTTTTGGTTTGTTTGTTTTGGTTTGTTTGTTTGTTTGTTGGCTTGGTCAGTTCGGGTTTGCTCGTTTTTTGTTTGCTTGCTTTATTTTGTTTTTGTTGATTGCTTCGGATGGATGGTTATTTTTAGTTGTTTGGTGTTTTGCTTTGCTGGTTGGTTTGTTTGTGTGTGTTTGCTTTTGTTGGCTTGTTTGTTTTGGTTTGTTTGTTTTGGTTGTTTTGGTTTGTTTGTTTGTTTGTTTGTTTGCTTGCTTGTTTGTGTTTGGCTGCATTGAGAATGCAAAGGGCTGTATTGAAAACAAAGGCATTTCACAAGTTCCAGGCCGAGTGGAATGCCATTTCATGGGCACGTGAATTGGATCGGCCTGACAGAACCGAGAGCCCCGAAGGCGGCTTTGCAGGATTCTTCATTTTCGATTGGTGAGTTGTGATACTTCATCCAATGGAAATCCAACCGCGAACGGTCCCAAGAACTTCCAAAGAGGCCAAGAGATGATCAAACCACAAGGTGGAAATTGGGTGGACCGTCCCTTGCTTCCCCTTAAAGCTTACCGACCAAGTTCCTACCAGGAGTTTCGGGGCAAACCTAGGAGTTGACTAGGACTTACGAAGGCGATCCATGCAATGGCCTATCACGCTTCTTTGATTCCTCATGATTGTCGCAGCTCTAGGATCACAGCTCATGATTGTGCCTCACTCGCCCGGCTCGCTCACTCACTTGCTCAGCTCAGCTCAGCTTAATTTTCCTCAACTCACCTCATCTGACTTTGGCCGCACCGCGTCTCACTTCACCGCTTCACCTCACTCAGTCACCCATTCAGCCAGGCCCTCTGAACTGCATTCACACGCTTTCTGTCCAGTGCGTCAGAGAAATACTTGCCAACCTGTGTGTTGACACCTGTCAACTGAGGATTCCATTTCTAAACATCGTGGATTTCTTTGCTTGCTATTTAAAGGTGGTGGGCCCGCTATACCCTCAAGTTGGTCAGACACGCCAAAGCAAATCCCACGAGGTCTCTGCGGGCACGAGGCCGCCGGGCCTCATTTTCGGGCCCAGGCAGGAGGATCGGAGATCCGGCCGGATCGCTAGTTGCGTGTTGCCACATTTGTGGGTTGGTACGCACGCATACAAGGAAACGCACCATACTAGGTGTATAAGCCCTTATAGGAAACCAGGTTTAATTTTGACCCACATGGACCGGAATTGCCCTGGCAAATGGAAAAACAACACAAAACAACCCGGTAAATTCCGCAAAAAAAAAGGAAACAAAACTAAAACCCTGGCAAAAGTCCGGAGAAAAAAGAACAAACAAAAACTAAGACCCCGGCAAATTCAGAGGAAAAAAACAACAACAACCAACTCATTTGTTGTTGTTTTTTTGCAAAAAAAGCAAAAACTGGAAACCCTGGAACAAACAGACCCTGGCAAACCCTGGAACAAGCAGACCACAAAACCCGGTAAACTCTGAACCAAAAAAAACGGTAAACTCTGGGGAAAAACAACAAAAAACAGACCAAACAACCCGGTAAACTCTGAAAAACAAAAACATACCAAAAAGCCCGGTAAACTCTGGAGGGAAAAAAGAACAGACAAAACCACTCAGTCCAGTTTCGTTTTGCTCCGCTCGATCCCATTTCAGGCAGCAGGTGGCCAAAGCCCTGCGAGAGCTGGAGGCCCATGGCTTCGGCAGGACGCGTGGGCCGGGCGCGTGGGGTGCGAAGAGCTTTCGTGGGATGGGGTTTTGCGAGTGAAGCGCTTGGATGATAGATGGTCATAGATGGTCATAGATGATTGTGTTTTTTGTTCTTTTTGGTAGATATCTGTTTTTTTTTTGCCATCATCTCATGTTTGTTGCATAAACGACTCCTGTGGGAAGGTGTTTTTTGCGTGTGTGTGTGTCATGTTTCTTAGGTTCGACTCCTGTGGGATGTGTCTTTTTTAGATATCTGATTTGCCATTGTCTCATGTTTGTTCCATAAACGACTCCTGTGGGAAGGTAGTTTTTGTCTGTTTTTGTTTCATCCTCATGTTCTTTTTAGCTTCCGACTCCTGTGGGATGTTTATTATTATTATTACTATTATTATTATTATTATTATTATTATTATTATTATTATTATTATTATTATTATTATTAAAAATATCTGATTTGACATTATCTCATGTTTGTTCCATCCTTATAACAGACACCAATCTTGTTTTTTTTTTCCCCCTTTTTTTTCCTCCCCGTGAGACTCGAGGAGTCGGCCCGTGATGGACATGGGCTGCGCCTACCACGACTTCTCCCAAGGCTTGCTGCGCCGCTCGGAGCGAGGGCCCGCTTCGCCCAGGGAGTGTCCGAGACACCGCGAGGGCCGGAGCTCCAACGTGGCTTGGTTGTTTTTTTTTGTTCTGTTTTTTTTTGGTTGGTGGGAGAGCCTTTTTTGAAGATCTGTTCGGTTTTTTTTGGTTGGTGGGAGAGCCCCTTTCAAGATCCAAAGGAGTCGAATAAGTTGGATGAGAATCTGAGAAGCAGGGTTGCGGGCCCAAACTTGAGCAAGCCGGGGAAGAAGCTCGGTATGGGATCCGGACCTGTCTCCCTGAGATCCTCCCAATGAACATGGGACCAGTGGGTCCCTTTCCAAGGAAGATCTTCCAGAACCCCCCCCCCCCCCCGCCCATAGGTCAGCTTCAGGGTCGGCCGGGAAACAACCAAAACCGCCCAGTTGGGCCACGGAAACTGGATCCACATGGGCCAGTTGACACCAACGGATGGCGGGAGCAGCGGGGGTGACTGTGACGCCGGATCGCAAAGGATGCCTGGCAAAAGTTTGGACCAGCTGCATACGGAACTGTGCCTCATGTCTGCAGATGGACACAAATACAGTGTGGACCATTGAGGTGTTGTCCTTTTTCGCTAGGACTACTTGTTGCTGGGTGACCAGTTGCAGTCAGAGGGACAAACAAGCAGGGACGCGTGTGAATGTTTGTCCGGGACAATTTACACTTATCCCGCTTTCAAACTCACCCAACCCAACCCACCCACTACCCACCTACCAACCTACCAACCTACCAACCTACCAACCTACCAACCTACCAACCTACCTACCTACCAACCTACCAACCAACCAACCAACCAACCAACCAACCAACCAACCAACCAACCAACCCCTACCTACCTACCTACCAACCAACCAGCCAAACAGAAGCCATTTGTTTGACGCAGAGATGGTGCGAGCGCCGCAGTTCACGCTGACGTTCCCGAGGCGTGTCCTTGGATCTACAGCAGTTCCCAGAGGTGTGCCCGCCCGAGAGCGAAGCTGAGGTCGATTTCCCCCCGAACTGCCCATGGACACCAGAGGTTTTTGGGGTGCAATGACCTCCAGGTTTCGTTTGGTGCAGGGTGGGATCACTCTCGGTTTATCCAACCACTTTGTGATACATTTGGGCATCCCCTTTGACATGGGAGTTTCGTCTTTGGGGGTTAGGCCCTGTTGTTGTGGCCATTTCCCACAGCCCCGAAATTTGGTAAGTCCCTCACTCTAAGGGCAAGCTCCGAAATTCAGGCGTTCAACATTCTAGTTGTTCACTCACAGCCCCTTCCCCGTTTTGATCCTGGCGTCCAAAACGAGTCCCCTTGGAAAACCAGGGTGTGACTGGGATCATGGTTTGTGTCAGCAACTGTTTGGCTGAAAAAAAAAGGATGTTCCACGCTTCTTTCTCTTTCCTTGAACTTCAAGCGCTGGGCGCGAGACAGCAGTCAGACAGCAACCATGTTCAATTCTCGCAGCTGAAAACCAGAAAGGGATGTGTGTGAGTGATGCTGCGCCCGCCTATTCATCAGCTGTCGCGTTTGTGAATCCTAGCATGCAGAAACCTTCCTGCTGTCAGGTTTGCTTTGGTGCCCACGGTCCCCAAATGTACCAGAAGAAAAACACAATGATGTGCAGACAAAAATTAAACGAGAGATGTTTGTGTAGCGCCGAAGAAAACAGAGTTGTAACATTCTCATCAAGTCAAGAAGCCTTCCTCGATCATGCTTCGCAAGCCTGCGCACGGTGGTGTTCACAGAAAAACCGAATGGCATAGGACCATGCAACGGGGACCGACACCCAGAGGAATGTACTCAAAGAAATTCCTGTCTAGGCTGAGTTCCGTTTTCGCGTTTTCTGCTCTTGGTGGTTCCCAGCCATTCCTTAGCTTTTTACCTTTTTTGGTTGGTTTAGTGGTTGGGTTTCCATTTACCCTCCCACCAGCTAACATCGAAGTGCACAGACCCCTGTAGAGACTACTTTCCTCTTGGAAAGGGCCTTTTTGCAATTCCATGTTAGTTGGGAGGGTAACTCACTCAAAGTGTTCGTCACTTTTAGCACCCCATGGAATTTGACCCCTGGCAAAGGGGAGGGGAAACAACAAGTCTTCTCTTGGTTCGCACATGGCTTTCTTAAGTTTGGACCCAACAATTGCAGGTTTACTGTTGCTAGGTCCCCCAGCTAGGCGCTAGGTGCCCTTTTTCACCAATTTTTTGGATGGGAGGGTTCCCCTACTAAAATAGACTACAGAAACAAGGGTACCCTTATTCTAACCGCTCTACTGGTGTTTTAAAGGGAACACAAGAAGGTAAGCCACCATTTTGAGGGTCCCCCTAGTTTGACACATACCCAAATGGATTCCACCTGACAAAATAAATGGACTCTGCTGAAACCAATGCCATCTATGTTCAACCAAACTGACCTAAATCCGAAAACACAAAACAAAATTGGACTCCCCATGATCGACTTTGCTGCGTGCAGCCTTTCCCGCCCATTGTGGACAAGGGCACGCTCAAACAGTCTGCAGACTTAGGCGTCAATACGTTCAATCGCTATGACGGGAAAACTCTGCCTGCTTAGAAGTTAGCCATCCAGCCCTGGGCAAATGAGCCACCTGGAGGGAGTGATTGGACTCACAGCGTCCGAGTAGCCTGTGGATCATATTCGATGACGACACTTTGCACCAAAGCCCGGTCCTGTACATGGGTGTGTCTGTACCCTTTTTCGTACCCAAAAAGGGTACACTCTCAAACGCGCAGATCCCCATCTGGCTGTGGGTCAACACCCTGTACCCCTGGTGAACATCAAAATAGTGGGATCGCCATAGGTTATGCGTTTCCCATGCCAATCTAGTTGTTTTTTTTTCTTTTTCTTTTTCCGGATACACAGGGGTCCATTTTTTCGCCTCCGTGAGGCTTGCCTTGATCGAGGAGTCCATGAAGAGTATGTGCCGCCCGCACCCGGGCCCAGAAGGCGATGGGGATCATCTTAACCGACGGCATGATCCTACCCAAAACGGAGGGTATGTACCTATGGTTGAAAACCGGGGGGGGGGGGAGGGGGGTTGGTGGGTGGGGGTTCTCAAAAAGGAGTGTCCTTACTTGCCATGCTTGAAAACCGGGGGGGGGGGGTTTCAAAAGAGAGAGTGGCCTGAAATGCGGAAGTGCCTTTTGTTTGGGTTAGAACGGCCCCTTTTTGGACGCCCAGCCTAGAAAGCGATTCCCAGGGATTCGCTGTCATCGCCAGTGAGGGTTCGTGGAACCTTTGGCTGAAACGCCTTGGGGTTGAATCGGGCCTTGAAGTTTGAAAGTCCGCAGGTCTATTTGTTCCCAAGAAAGTCCAAAGCCCAAACCTGCTCATGGCTGTGTGGATGTTATAAATAAATATATATATATATATATAGACAGTATCTGCATCTATCTGCCTATTGTGTGGCGAGCTCACCTGGGGGTGAGCTCACCATGCTCACCTCAGGGTGAGCTCATCATGTAGGTCCTTTACGTCGGGGTGCCTTATTTCTGGTTTTGGATTCGTCATGTCTTTTTCGGCTTTGTTTGTTTTGTGTGTGTTGTCAACAACACGTATGAATATGTATATGAATATGTGTATATATATATACATAATACACATGAATTTCGCACGTGAGGCCGAAGGACTTTGCTTTTTTTAGGCCTCGCGCCTCGCGAGGCCTCAATGTCATCGCCCGACACTACGAGGGGACGGCTGAGAAGGCGGAGCGCGGATGGTTTTGTCTAGGTCCCCCAGCTAGGTGCCTTTCTACCATTTCTTTTTTAATTAAGAAAGTTCCCTAAAATAGACAAACAAGTGGGCACCAACTTCTAACCTCTCTACTGGAGGACCTAGTTGTTGACTTCGGACAAATCCACAGGACCCTACTTGTCAGAGGACCACCTAATTCCAAGCCTCAATGTATGCGTCCATATATGCCCCCCTGGTGTGAACGCCTGCATTGTGGGTTCACTACCCGTCAGTTGTGGCTTAATTATGGGAAATCAGCCACCAAAGAGTCCAGCATGGCCGTGGGTTCACGTATGGACCCATACAATCAGCCTTTCATGAACAGAGATCGTTTCCTTGCAAGGGAACCGCTGATGACAGTCACCCGCAATCCGAAGGTAGCATTACAGGTGAGCAGAGGGTCTTCTCCGATATGATCATTACATTTGGAGAGTAAAGGTGAAATCGAATCTGACAGATCCAGGAGTTGGGCCATAGATGTGGCAGTGCCTTTTGCCCCTCTTTGGTCAAAAGTCAAAGGGGACTTCCTGATGTTGAGGGTTTCTACACTCGTAAAAGGATCCGATTGAGCTTCGATTGAAAGAGGTTTGGTTCCGCGAACATTTGCCAGAGTATGAAGCAGGATCTAGGCATGTCACTTGTACTTGTTTGGGCAACAGAAAAACAACTTCTGGCCAAACGACTGAAGCTTCGGTGCTTGATGGCGCCTGCCCAGGTCATCTTAGCACAACGCCCGCCTCAGGTTTTGATGTTTCTCATGGATGGAAAAAGGGAGATGTGGGTATACATCAGAAGAGGACCCGCCCAAAATGGTGTTTCTCCTCTTGGTTCCCCGCAAACTCAGGTGAAAAGGGTACTCCCCCCCACCTCCCCCCCGCCCGAGATCTGCTCCCCCCCCTCACCCCCCCCCTCACCCCCCCGCTCCCCCCCCCCATCCCCGACACCCCCGCTCCCCCCAGAGCACACAACCCTCCGCACCAGGACCGCCTGGCCTTTCATGCTGACAACTTTGTGGTGGGACCGTGGGTGTGTCTTGGCCAGCAATTGGCGGAGGCAAGCGAACGCCGAATGGAAGCTAACCACATCTCATAGTTTTTTGGTTGGCATCCTCTTCCAGGTTGTGGAAAATGTGGATTCTGGTTTCTGGGGGTTACCAAAGTCAGAAAATGTGGAAAATGGTAAAGTAATGAGGCCAGAGTCCAAACATGTTGTTGTGATTGGAGCGCAACAGCGCTGGCACAGTCACAACCCTTGCTGGCTCCCAGCCATCCCTTCGCTTTTTAGCCATTTCGTGTTTAGTGGTTTCGTGTCTATTTAACCCACGAACAGTTAGTCACTTTTAGCAGGTCTGAAAACGGACAGCCCATTTGTGTCCAACTTGTCGCCTCGTCCTCGCTCCATGCTCGTGGCAGGTTCGGATGCATCCTCAGACAGGACTCCGGATGCCGGGATTTGCTGTCCATATGGTACGTGTCAACATACGGTGGACGAAAGCCATTTCGCACCACTTGGAAACCCAGGGGTTCCATTGCTTAGTGGTATTCACCAGGAAAATCGCATCATTCCAGGATTTCTTAGTGCAGGATATCGTCCATCCACAGTAGGAAGACCCCGAAATGGGTGGTGTTCCTTTAACTTTGCCTTTGAACCTTGAGAAGGGCACAGACACGCAGATGGAGCACCTTCTGGCGTTTAGCTTCAAGCAATACACCACTCCGTGCTATGCCGTGCGTTAGCTTGGCACCCAGGGCCCTTTTTTTCGGGAGGGGTATTTTTCGGGGGAACTGTTTGACCGGCCAAGACGAAACGCGGAAGAGCAAAATCAAAAAAGGACGAAACAAAAACCATCGAAGAATCGGCACCGCTTCTTTTGCATGGGGTGATGTTTAAGGGATATGCGCCCGTTCAAGAAATGTCCCTTGTCCCTCTTACTAGCGAGCTCGCCCGCGAACGCGAGCTCTGCCATCCTTTTCGAAAGGCCTCGTCTCCTTTCGGTCTTCAGGCAAAAGATGGAAACATGTACTCGTAAAGAGAACAGGATCTCGAGATTGAGATTTCCCGCAGCATGGTGAGGAGAGAGCATGTCATCCCATTACTTCACGCCCATCCACCTTGTCAAGATCCAAGAAGATTAGGTGGTGGGTAACGAAAAAGGAACTAATGAGACCAGTCCTTCCCAAATCAAAAGCCGTTCTCACCGCGAAAAAGACGCACTGGAAAATAAGATTTACATAATGAAGAGATAGAAACATAAAGACATGATGCCGGGCAGATAAAGTACTGGCCGCTTCGCTGGAGCAGTTTCTAGTCGTTCATTGGATTTCTTGGTAATCGGATTTCTAAAAGCCAAGCCCGGGCGAAGCGAGGGACATGGTTGACTTCATGCCGTGGTGGATTCTTGGCATGAGATAGAGTGGAGAGGTGGTCAAGGGTCTCTTCCACGGCTAGGAATGAAGGTTTGATGCAGGGACATATATTAAGAGATGAGATTTGAAGAGGATTCCCTTCCCTTCAGTTGCTCTTTTGTCTCTCGAGAATTAGAGCACACATTTTGTTTATACGAGTTATCATTCTACCCCCCCCCCCCCCCCTTCCCTGCCTGCGAAATGGTGGGTGGGGCTCGGTGGAGTAAGTTTAGGGTTTGTTTTAGGGTGGGTTTAGGATGGTTTGGGGTTGGTTTCCTGTCGGCTTTGGGGCAATCTTGAAGAGTTGATTTGGGCCCTTAGGGAACTCCATACCTGCCCTGATGGAGTGGTTTTCAGGCTTGCTTGCGTTTGGTTTGGTCTTGGTTGGGTGGCTTGCTCGGCAAAGGAAGAAAAGAAGGAACTACTGTGGGACGGAAACTACTTGAAAGCTAGCTTCCTGACCGAAGAGAAGAGCAGAATAAGCACGCACGAGAAAAGCTGCATGCGCGTGTGGCGGGGAGTGGTGCCGTCCAAAAGGGACAGTTTCGTCCATTTGCTGAAGAACATCATTTATTTTCCCTTGCTGGTAAAAGGAATTTATCACTACTGGACATATGTTCTATTTTTTCCAGGGGTCTTAACCAAATGGAAGGTTTTTGTCCGCGGGTTTTCAGTTGGATCCTAATCCCAGCAGCGCTCTGGCGACTTCCTTGGCCCGGCCAACCAGGTTCTCCAGTGAGGCTACTTCACTTGGTGCCCAGCCATCCGGTTCCTTGGCATCTTAGCTTTTTCGTTGGTTTAGTGGTTGGGTTTCCATTCAACCCAAAACTTTTAGCAGGAGATCTGAAAATGGACAGCGCAGTTCAACATCCGAATTGCCTTCAGAAGCTCAAAACTTTGCTTGTCTGATCGCGACGCCCGGTCGAGAGCAAGCTGGGAGCGACGCGGCAGTCCAGCAGGTCCGGGGGAGGGGGCGCGAGCGAAGTGGAAGAACGCGAGAATTTCTTTGCATACACATACAAAAACCAAAGCCAAATAAGTGAATAAAGAAACAACAAACAATTAAGTACAGAAACAAATCACAAATACATATTGTTTACTTTACTTTTGTTGTTCTTCTTTATTATTATTATTATTCTCATTATTATTATATTCCAATGTTTCATCTTGCTTCATTATTTTTCTATCTCCACTCTGGTCCATCCTCCGCTCGAGTCAAGGGGGAGCCCCTTCAATCAGAACCCCTAAGGTGCTTAGAGTTCCCTTTCTGGGGGCTTGGGGCGGGGCCCAAAAGGGGCGAAGTGACTGAGTGGCCGATGTTTGACTTATGGGGGACTACCCCGTTCAGTGTCAGTGATCATATGTGGCTTACCCCCTATAGTCCTGACTGAGTGATCATATGTGGCTTACCCCCTATAGTCCTGACTGAGTGATCATATGTGGCTTACCCCCTATAGTCCTGACTGAGTGATCATATGTGGCTTACCCCCTATAGTCCTGACTGAGTGATCATATGTGGCTTACCCCCTATAGTCCTGACTGAGTGATCATATGTGGCTTACCCCCTATAGTCCTGACTGAGTGATCATATGTGGCTTACCCCCTATAGTCCTGACTGAGTGATCATATGTGGCTTACCCCTATAGTCCTGACTGAGTGATCATATGTGGCTTACCCCCTATAGTCCTGACTGATAGTCATATGTGGCTTACCCCTATAGTCCTGACTGAGTGATCATATGTGGCTTACCCCCTATAGTCCTGACTGAGTGATCATATGTGGCTTACCCCCTATAGTCCTGACTGAGTCATATGTGGCTTACCCCCTATAGTCCTGACTGAGTGATCATATGTGGCTTACTCCCTATAGTCCTGACTGAGTGATCATATGTGGCTTACCCCCTATAGTCCTGACTGAGTGATCATATGTGGCTTACCCCCTATAGTCCTGACTGAGTGATCATATGTGGCTTACCCCCTATAGTCCTGACTGAGTGATCATATGTGGCTTACCCCCTATAGTCCTGACTGACTGTGATCTTACCCCCTATAGTCCTGACTGAGTGATCATATGTGGCTTACCCCCTATAGTCCTGACTGAGTGATCATATGTGGCAGTGACCATACCCCCTATAGTCCTGACTGAGTGATCATATGTGGCTTACCCCCTATAGTCCTGACTGAGTGATCATATGTGGCTTACCCCCTATAGTCCTGACTGAGTGATCATATGTGGCTTACCCCCTATAGTCCTGACTGAGTGATCATATGTGGCTTACCCCCTATAGTCCTGACTGAGTGATCATATGTGGCTTACCCCCTATAGTCCTGACTGAGTGATCATATGTGGCTTACCCCCTATAGTCCTGACTGAGTGATCATATGTGGCTTACCCCCTATAGTCCTGACTGAGTGATCATATGTGGCTTACCCCCTATAGTCCTGACTGAGTGATCATATGTGGCTTACCCCCTTTAGTCCTGACTGAGTAATCATATGTGGCTTCCCCCCTATAGTCCTGACTGAGTGATCATGTGTGGCTGACCCCCGCTAGTCCTGACTGAGTTTTTTCTCAGGCACCCACAGTCCCATTCGATTCGTTTCGGCCCTTGAAACCGGAATCCCCAGACGCCGATTCGACTTCATTTAGTTAAGAATATGTTTTAATTGTCCCCTGTTGGTTTTACAGGGAATCTATCACTACTGGATATATATATATATATTATATTCCGGGGGACTTATATATTATTTTTTTTTTCCGGGGGACGAAAAAGCAAATGGAGGTCGACCGCTGACCGCTGACCGTTTCTGCGCTGTCTCGCGGCAGGAGGGGAGCCCTGAGATGGCGCTGCACTTCCGCGAGCTAATTGGTGAGGGCAGCTTCCGGATGAAGGAGTCCGGCGAAACGGTCGATGGGAAGCTCCCACCAGCTTCTGTTTGGGCCTGGGGAGCCTCAAAAAAGGATGTTTGTTGGGCCTGGCGACCCTCAAAAGAGGATGTTTGCCCGGTCTCTAGTTTTTTCTTGCCTGGGGACGCTCAACAAAGGATGCTTTGCGGCCAAACAAAAAAGCACAAGGGTAAATTGGTCAATGGTTTCCCTTTTGTTTCCTTCCCAAAATTCTAGCTAGGGGTCTGAGCAAGCGGCCCTGTCCAGAACCGGATGATTCCATTGGAGGGCTCCTGTGGCTCCCTTGCTCGCGTGTTCAGTCAGCTGAGCGAGAACATGCCCTGCAACTTGGTGCGATAGGGGGAATGAGGGAATGACCCTATTCAACCCATCCCTTGTGGTTTCCTTTGAGGGGAATTCTGGGTTCGTTCCCAGATTCGCCACTGAGCACCAGTAAGTCAAGCAATGGAACTAGGGGATTCCGAGCCCTGGAAGGGGAAGACCATACAAATGCAACATCGGACCTCCAGAGGATTTCCACAAACCTTTGGTCCATCATGGTTGGGAACCTTCTGGGGTCCACGGACCGCAATCCCATTAAAAGCAAATTCCCCCATGGACCGTGCTTTGTTTGCCTTTAGTGGGGATTTTTCGTGCACGGTCCATCTGGTTGGGAACCTTCGTGAACATCTTGGGCGCTTGAGCGTTGCGACTTCCCTGAAGGGTGCGTAGCGTTGATCTTGGCAGAGGTATGGCAACCTGGAAGGGGAGTTGCGTGTCACACGCGAAAGAAGCTTCTTAGCTCCGGTTTCCTTGTTTCGGATTGGTGACTTGTTTCACCCCGATTGAAAACTCCTTTTCCGAAGAAGCTTGGCTGTACCTATGGCTGGAAAGGGAACTTCCCCTCCCAGTTCTAAAGCGTCCAGCCCCCAGATATGCAGCTGAGTAGACATCGATATCTTGCATCGCCCCATCGGCGTCTGCCAATCTCAGATGAGGTCCAGCAGGAGGGATGTTGCGCAAAGGGCAAGTTTTGGCAGCCGTGAAACATGTGGTTTTCAACATTCCACATGGCTTGTGCAAACGGGGGTCGTTCATGCAGCAAGTGTTTGGGGAGGACTGTTCATTTGGCCTGTTTTCCTTGGTACTTGTTTACGAGTCGCTCACTTCTCCAAAGCCTACCTTTTGGGTTTCCCTTGGTCCATGTTCAGGCGAGGTTTCTGGCCCAAAGCTTGGCCTTTCCTAACCTCACCGGGCCGGCGAGGTTGCTGTTCTGGAAACTCAAGCCCCGGCCATGGGCAACTTGTTTGGTGAGGGACTTCCTCCTCCAAAGTGGGTGGTGAAGAAGACAGAAGTTTCCCCCAAATTTGGCGTCCACCGTTTTTTTGTTTTCTCAACATTCTCACACCCATGTGGACGGTTTCCTGGCAATTTCTTTTCTGGTGCGCCGAGCCCTTCATGGAACCCGGAAGCTCCCCCCGTGTGAGTCGGGCGTGACCAGTGCTCTGGCTTCCCCTTGTTGGTTGCCAGGGTCAATCCGAGCCTCAAGCCGATCAAATCCAAAGGGCCAGAAAAACGTTGCGGAAAATGGAAGGCTTTTAGGCAACTTTTCTGTGATACGGGGGTCGCCTTTTGGAAAGTGACAATGTAGTTGTTTTGCCACAACCATGTACATTGGTCAAGGGTTTCTTTGGGTCTTTCTTTACCAGGGACCAATTCTCCGCCCTGTCTTTGGAGCAGTCATTTGGATTTCCGGGCAAGCAACTCATCTCAGAGGGTCCCTTGTACCCTCGAATTGTGGGGAGTCAACAGGGGTCAGATAAGTTCCTCAAAGGCACCAACAAAAACCCACATGATGTGGTGTATTTGTGTATCCCCAAAGATCAAAGGTGGTGGTGGCAGCGGAAACCATCTTTTGCGGACCTTTTGGTTGGGGCGATGGGACTATTCCAGGAGCCAATAAGCCCTTCAGAAGGCCTCAAGGGGTTCAGAAGGGATTTAGAACCCGTTCTCCCCCCCCCCCCCCAGTTTCCCACCTCACCCGCATTGGTGTTGGCCCCCGAAGCCTACGATTTTGCGCTTTCATCCTGGCTTAGGGAATGAGGGAAGGAACCGGTTTGGGAGTCCCTCACAGGAAACCACCAGTTGAGGTCATTCCATTTCTCATTCGCACCTTCCATTTGGGAATATGTTTTCTTTTCAGAAGAGACTTCTAAGTAAACCAGTACCGTTTGTTCGTGGAGAGACCTATAGTCATGTTTTGTTTTCCCCTGGTTCCCTGGACATATGGCTGTGGGTCAAAGCCAATGGGATCCCATTTTGGGGTAGGTGAATTCACCACCCATTTTAGAACCTATTTTAGTGGTTGGATTGAATCGGATGTTAGCGGGTAACCGGGCTTTTGACGCCTCGCCTTGGTTCGCTGGACATGGCCGCTCTGAGCCGGGGATCGCCGCTCGGTCCAGGAGCAGCCGGGCCACTTGTACCTTCAGACCGGGGAGGCAGACGGCCCCAGCACGCGCCGTTTTTCCTATGTCTTGCGGTTGTTTTTGTTAATGTCCAAGGTCCCAACTATGTACCCCTGGATAGGTGCCCCTGCAAAATACCATGGTATATAGCCATCTTTTCCAGTGGGATGCCAGGGGTACCTGCCCAGGGGCACGTGGTTTGGCCCCCAGATAATGGGGGAGGGGGAGGGGGAGGGGGAGGGGGGGTGGGATGTTTTTCTCATATATATTTTTGTTTGTGTGTGTGTGTGTGTGTTTCTGTCTGGGATTGCGGGAATCAGGCCTCACCTGATTCTTCCATTTCGTTTGGGCGCGTGGGGATTGCAGCGACACTTCTTTGCTCCTGAGAGACGTCTCAGCGCTTCATTCGATACTCCGAGCATCCGTCCAGTCGAAGACCTCGGACGCCGATCAAAACAGGCAACTCTTCAGCGCATCAGATGATTGCAACAGCTCTGCTGTTGGTTCTTACTCCGTTTTTGGTTTGAAAAGCTCAGCAAACCATCAATTTGGGGGCAAAGAGCTCATTCCTATTTAGAGTTCTACCTGCAAAGCCATTCCTATCAACATTATGCGGTGCTTATTTGATTCGATTCAATAATTGTCAATAGCATCTATTGAGAATCAACGATAGGAATACTATGCAATTTTAGGAGCTGTTTCGTGTTCAAGCCAAATTCAACTTTAACCGGTTGCATGCATCTCAATTGAACATCCATCGGGAAACCAACTATTGTCATTGCCAGTGGAAACTAGAATCAAACTCAATTTCAATATAGATATTATCTAATTCCAAGTGAATTTAACCAAGCAAGAACTGAGCCAAGCCAATAACAAAGAAGTGTCTATAACCCTGGATCTGCTTCTTCGCACAAACTGCTGTATCACGCGTTTTTTGCAGCATTTGCTCAGACCGTCTTCCCCTGGATCTAAGGTTGAATATCAAAAAGAACCTTGCATTTGTCGACAGTCTGTCTGCACAACATATGGAAAACACTTTTCATAGTAGAGGACCCCAAAACAGGCCCAGCATCCTGAATTGGGACAAACAATGTCCAGCAAACGAGGCCCCAATTATCAAACAAGGTCTAACATTAGTGCCAGATGTCCATGAGCCCCTTGAATATGTTGCACTCAGGTTGTTTACCACGAATTTACATCTTTTCTGGTAAGTAAACATCCTTAATTTGATGCTTGGACGGTGCACTCCTTGTCTACCTTTTTTGGATCATTCAATTCATTGGGACAGCACTGGTGTTTTCCATCTTTGATCGGGATTCAAGGTTCAAGATTCCACAGCCCTGCTTTCAGACCTGCAACCATCTCGGCTACTGAAAGGAGAAGGGCAAGCCGAGGGTCTTTGTTGTTTTCTGCAACCTGCTGCAGTTGTCAAGGCGGTGACGGAGGTGAGCCTACCAACTTACTGCCTCCCGGAGCGGGGAGGCCTTCGATAGTCGGCCATGGTCCGGAGGCACGGCGACGAGGGCTTTTGAGGTGGGGACGCTCAAAAGGCGGCGGCCTCTTCGGAACGCGGCGGCCTCTTCGGAACGGCGAAGTGCGAAGCAGTTCCGGGCCGAAATCTGAAAAGTCAAGCCAGAAACGAGCGTTTGGATGGCGCAAACACCTGGGTCCGTGGGGTGGGAGGGGGGGGGGGCGGAACGACCACATTTGAATATATATATATATATATATTATATGTATATACATCAATGCATGTGTGTGTGTGTGTGTGCAAGACAGGTCTCACCTGAGCACCGCACCTAAAAGGGCATTCGAGTCCTGCACAGGTACTTCGTGGTACCCCAACTTTTCCCAAATAAGGAAAACACCATATTTGAATAGCTTCTGGCCAACGCGTGCCGCAAGCGTTTTCTTGTTTGTGCGCCACATGCAGACTTTTGCCGGGGTTATGTGGGGGCTGGCTGAGGGCGAAGAGCGCTGAGCAAGCTCGCCAATCATTTCAAATTGAACTTTGCTTCCATTTGGTTAAGATTTGTTTATTTATTTAGTTATTTTCCCCTGTTGGTATCAAAGGGATTCTATCAATACTGGAACTATTTTACCAGGGGACGAAAGCAAATGGAGGCTTGTATTTATGCGGAAGACCATTCGAGCCGGGACCATCCCCATAGAATGGATACACCCCCGAAAAGGAGAATCACAGTTCTGATTGGTCCGGTCCGTTTTTGATCCAAAGTCGACATCATTTGAGGCGGTAACCGCATCCAACCACAAAACCATGGTAAATGGTGATCAAATGCTGCCGAGGCCAGGGAATTCTGGAGCCATGGCATCCCAGACGGCGGCACAGGCCTGTGCAGCGCTTGCAAATGAGAACCAAACATAAAAACCAGTCCCACCTGTTTTCCCAAGACGCATGTCTTGTTTGATTACCCTCTGCAGACCAGCGTTGAAGAACAGCACAGAGTTGCTGATACATCCTGCCATAGTTGCTCCACCTTTCGCTGCCTGCGAAATCGCAACATGTATGCAAACTCTCCGCCTGACAGAATGCGGTTCCGTTCCGAGATCCAAGATGAGTTTGTTTTGGGCGGGGCCCTTGTTGTGATTGTTTGACAGCAAACTGAAGGAACGCCAACGAATGAGAGTTTTGACCACTTAAAGCTCGTGCTTTGTGACGCTGCGCTCTGCTCAGTTTATCCAAAAGGGCACCGAGGCCGGGGTTTCCTCCTTTTCCTTTGTTGGAACCCCGCACAAGTCGCAGTTTTGGCGGAAGCCACCGGCAAATCTTGTCGCTGTGGACGGCCCCCTACGCATCGAATTTGCCCCGGACCTGGTCCTTATGCCAGATGCGAGTGGCTACGCCACTGGCCGATGGCTTGGGTGTTCAACCTGCTTATGACTCCGTAGGCAGGTTTCTTCACACGGGCTCCTATATATATATACATATATATATATATATATGGGGATACCCCATTTCTGGTGAGCCGGGTGCAACTTGCAACGCAGGTTATGCGTGGGGTGACTGTGGTGCCCTTTTGGCCATGAGTTGAACATCCAAGTCAAAAACCCTCCGGCCAGGCTTGCGCCAGCCGGGGGTCCTTGGTGTGGCCTTCGCCCGGTTGCGGACAACAACTCATTGACACCCCGGCCAAACTTCACTGTTCTTAGCAGGTCTTTTGATTTTTGGGATTCTGTTCAGTTTTAGTAGGGGGCTGCAAAAACAAAGTGTTTTGCTAGGGTTGTGAAGAACGTAGCAAGGGGAGCGGAAAGAAGGGCGGAGGCACTCTTCGGGGAGGCACTTGTGTGACTTTTGCCTTGTTCTCCGAAGACTGGACCTGCCTCTGGATGTCATGCAGGTTGATTTGCAGAAAGAGGTCGCATTTACCTTGTGCCTGACGTCAAGCAAACGCAGGCACTTGCTGCCGAAGTCCGCCAATCGACACACTGTAATGGAATCGTATTGCCACAGCCGTAGTCCATGGGAAGCAGGACACTTGTTGAAAAACATATCTATGAATGAGGGTGATGTAGCGGGTGCTTCGCCCAGCAAGCGCATGGGTGAGGTCAGGCAGTTGCTTGGGTATCAGTCAGCATCAGTCAGCAATGTGCACATTCGGGAACTCGAGTCCGCGTCCCAACACAGCGAGTTGAGATGGATATGGGTGTGTGTGTGTGTCAAATTTAGCCATCAGGGTAGTCTTTGGTTCACCAGGGTTCCATTTTGGGTACCTATTTTTGCCTCACAGCCATATGCCAAGGCATCACGAATTGGACATTCCGGTTGATTCGGAATGGCACAGGTCTCCCCCGCGGCAGATGGTGCCTGCAAGCAAAGTGTCCAATTCGTTGGTTGGTCCTGCGAAGACCACCCTGTAAACTGGAAGAGACGCCCGGCCAGGACAGGTGTTTCACAAAAAAAACGAACACTTGGTGAGGGGCGCTTGTTCCTTATATTTATGGTTTTACCGGCCTTTTTGAGTAGAGTTGGACATGGTTATGGTGATCAACCCGTGCCCAATTGATCTCGCGGGCCAGAATAAGCTCTGAACAAACAACGATAGTTGTCGGGTCCTGTTTTTGTGAGGATTCCTTTCTTCCAGGGAACTCCCCTGATTGATATTCACGGGACCGACTGGTCCCTGGGGATATATTCAAGGGACCTGCTGGTTCAATCTTGGGGAGCGTGCGAGGGGCGGCTTGTGAATCCGTGAGCAGAACAACTTACATCATAGTGAAGGGCCGTTCCTGCAGGAAGACCGAACAGCAATTGCTAGAAAATTGTTGGGTAGAAGATTGGTGTGCCAAATGTCTACCCTGCCAGGTGTACAGGGTTACTTTGTGAGGTTCAAAGGGGTGAAGCGTTCTTGTATCAATGATGCACAGTGGGTGCATTCCCCAGTGGAAACCCTCGAACAAATTCATGGGCCTACAGGGGCAAATGGGGAGGGGGAGCTATCACAGGGCCTTGGGGCTTACCCTAGGCTCCACGAATTTGTTTTGGATTTGGGGGACCCCCTCCCCAAAAAGGTGCCAGGTCCTTTGATCTTCACCAAAATGGTTTGCCTTTGGTTTTCCTTTGGTGCTTCTTTGGTTATCCTTTTGAGTTTGCACCAACACGGGGAACCTCAACAAAAGGACAGCCCCCCCGGTCGCGCGGTGGCCCGGCCTTAGGTCCTTGACCTGGCGCTGGCTGCGGCCCAGCTTCCTGAGGCGGAAGTTCTTCGCTTCGTCAATCGGAGGGGGGGGGGACCCCCCAACTCCTGGTACTCTGCGGCGATTTGGTGGGTTCATGTTTTTTTTGTTCTTTCGGGTTTTTGGGTGAAGCAGTGGGGATTTATTTGCGCTTTGCGATGTGGCAACGGATCTTTGGACTTCAACTTGTTGGTTGAAACGGTGGGATTCTTCGGATTGGGCACCCACAAAGTGTTAAGCTTTTTACTGCCGGGTCAACAGCAACCAAGCTGGGTTCCTGCACTTTAAGTAATTGTCTGGCAAGACAATTGTAGTGGCGAACAAGAAGTTTGGACTGTTTTTCTTGCCAACCGAATCAGGACGCCGAAGCGAGGCCACTCATTTCCGGGGTCCAGCCGCATGTCCAGACGCCTCTGCGCAGAAGATCCCAGGACCTTCGCCCCCCCAAAGAGAAGAAGCTGAACCGCCGAAGGGAAGCTGAAGCCACTTGCTTCGGGAGAGTGCTTTTCCGCGTCTTTTTCGGACAAGGAGATCCCAGGGCAAATGTTCATGGAAGGATGGCAAGCTTGCGAGCTGCGCTGGGCTCCTTGCTGAAAATATGTTTGGTTCCCAGGTTCAGGGCCAGCAGAAGCTTTGTGCCATGAGACGTGGTTAGGTCCTACTGTGGATGGTTGCGGAATCCATCCGCACGGCTTGGAAACCCAGGGGTAGCCCCTTGTTTATTGGTATTTGCAGGAAAATCAAATCATTCCAGGGTTTGTTAGGTGGTGCGAAATGGTTTCCGTCCATCCACAGTATGATTCCTATCTTTCCCCCTGAGATTCTTAAATTAATATAGGTCGCGAAAACATGCGGGGGTGTCGATTTAGTCGTATTATTTGCCCCAAAAGGACCACCAGGGCTGCTACGTTGTCTTGCGTTTCGGATGTTTTTGTCAGACACTGCCGTTGACTACCCAGTTGAGTTGATGCTTTGACAGAGGTATGAGTCACTCACCAGTTCCTATTGGTAAATCAGTCTTCCTTTGGTTTGGGGAGGACGTAGCCAATTTGTCCAGCTTCAGGCTTGGGGTATTACGTGGTGCTGGTGGTTTGACAAGAGGGGTTCTTTTGAATTCGGGTGAGGGAGCCTCCCCCGTTACCAGCTTTGATCATGTCTCAGGTGGTGCTCGTTGGAGCAGGGCCACCGAAAGCAGCAGGCCGATGGGGAGGATGGGAAACCAGCAAGGGCTGTGCTGAGTGCCGGCGATACGTAGTGGCGGCTGTGTGTTTGTGGTTGAGTTGGTAGCTTTGTTGCGGTCGTAAATTTGAATGAATGGGAAATGGGAGACTTCCAGAGACTTTAGTGCATGTGAACATACATGTATATATTTAGATATTAGAGTGTATTCAGATATATGTGTAATATGTACATGTATTAGAGTACAAATTGTGTACACATATATAGATTAGAGCATATATATATATATATATTGTATGGACAATACGTGTATGTATAATATATATATATATATATACACATGCATATGCCTCCTTTTCGCCGCAGCCCTTGTGGGGCCATGACTTTCCCACATCAATTCATGTTGCCTTTTGCAAAGTTGAGAGTTCGGCAAACGCAACGCGGTCCCACTGTGCAATCCGGAGCCTGAAGTCGGCAGGATCCTTTCAAAATTGCGTAGCCACAGAATCAGGGCCACGTGACCCTCCTTTTTGGGAGTGATGTCAGTTCAGGAAATGCAGGTGTATATGTTTCACCAGACGGTGGACGGACGAACTCCTGCACCACTTTGAAACCATGCCATCAGGGCCTTCTCCGGTTTTGCGGGCCTTCTCCGGGTTTGCGTGCTCCAACCTCTGTGTGCTCGCTCATTAAAAAGGAAAAACATGAGAAAGCACTGTCCAATTGGGAAAAGCCTATGGCCAAACAATAAATGAGGTACCTAGCAGTAAAAACACACATCGGCTTTTGCCTGGGGTATCGTGCCTTCTCGTTTTTGCTTTTTTCCCCCCTTTTTTCTTGTTTTTTCGGGCGGTTCCCCCCCAGCCGGTTCTGCGTCGCCCTGATCGGATCCCCTGTTTGATTTCTTGGGGATCCTAGCTGGTTTTTGACCACAGGGAAAACAACAGGGTTCCATTTCCAGTCCCAGGGGCCCAGATTGCTTGTGAAACAGCGCCTAAAGAGAAAAAGTACTCAGTGCGTTGAACCTTCGTGTCAGGGGGGGACAGCGGGGAAAGCAATCATCAAGTAGATTCATGTCTGGGTGTAGCGCCCTTTAGAGCGGTTCCAAGCATTGAGAAGGCATGGCCCCCTGGAGAAGCCTCGGGGATGGGGGTCCAGACCCTCGACATGGGGAACCATTGCTTGCTTGGTTACAAGGGAATCATCAGAAACCAGGGTTGCTTCGGTGGTGCCTAAGAGGATTGCGCCTATCCACAGGTTTCCCCTTAAAACCGCCAAAACAGGGGTACCGAATCATCAATCCACAGCCAAACCTCGCAGCTCAGCAAGATCTGCGAGGCCTTGTGGCTCCAGCGCTTCGTGTCCGCTAGCCGCCAAGCAAAGGTGGAGCAGGAGGCCGGGCGCAACGGTTTCGGCGCCGAAAGAGGTTTTTGGACATCAAAGTTGGCGCAAAGTCGGCCAAAGGGTTGAACCTGGCTTTGTCTCAGAGACCTCCAAAACTTCAAGACTTCAAAGGCGTGCTTTTGGCTTAGGTGCAAAAGCGTTCGAGAGATGCAGGGAAGGAGAAATGGAGTCTGACATCCAACTGGTGGTTTCCTTTCAGGGGAATCCCCTTCCGGTTCATTCGCTCAGTCCCTACTGAGCACCAGCAAGCACTGTCCTCTTTGGATTTTAAGAAGGACCCTACTATTGGGTTTGCCAGTCGTATTCGACGCCACGTAAAGGGGGAGGTCTTGTTTTGCTCACCGCTCCGCAGAGATCCATTCATATACGACTCTGCAACTGCGTGCCTCAAGCATGGTTTCCAACATATATATATATATATATATATACACACACACACACGCGTACGTTCATTCCGCAGGAAAACATCGCTTCTTAGGCCCTCAAAGTTGTAGCAGAGGGGGGGCTCTTATGTCTTTGCTGAATAGGGGTTTGCCTTCAAAAGGAGCCCACGCAAAGATCTTGGTTTCCTTTTTGGTTTTCTTTCGAGGCACATAGGCCCGAGGGTGCAATCCAATAGATGAGCCCGTATTCAACAACCAAAAGACTCACTGGAACTTGGCCCAGCGCGAGTTTTGAGAACGTCCCCTGCCTCTTGCGAACATGGGATCTGTAGGAGGGTACCTGGAAGATCAGTTTCGTCTTGGAGCGACCCCCTGTCAGCCATGGCAACGTCGGAGAGAGGGTTACTCTCCACCGGGACCCGGCGCAAAAGACCGGAGGTCCTCGAGAACTTCCTTACCCGATGGATGCCAGTGTGTGCGCTTGGGGGGGGAAGGGGCGTGGTTGGCGCGGTGGCCGGGTTGGCTGAGAAGAATTGGACGGCCTCGGCGTTTCAGTTTAGGTAGGTATGGATGTGTGCATTATTTGGTTGGCAGATCATTTCATTTCCGACCACTTACAAAGGGGGTGAAATTAAGTCGCAAGTGGGCACAGTTTCCAGTCTTCCAGTCTTTTATCCTGAGGTTCCTTCAAGAGCCGCATCTATCAAGGCTAGAAGCGCTTTTGAGGACAGTGTTTTCCCGAGAAGCCAAGAGGAAACTGAAGAGCCGCTTGGAGTTGATCCTAGTTCTTACGCGCAGCCTTTGCCTGTCTGTGAGTGGCGGGTGTATATACTTGTTGCATGCCAAGCTTACACGGACCCAAGCTCGAGTCTCAAACCGAGTGCCCAAAGCCCGTGCTATGCGGGATCTCCCCCATTCCCAGAACCGACAGAGCAGGTTTGCCCAGAAGTCCTGAAGTTCGGAGGACGACTCCTGGCGAAGGCATGTCCAACATGGTCTTCCAGCAATCACTTGCGGCTGAAGGGCGGTGATGTGGCGGTGGCCAAGTTTCATCCAACGCAACGAAACTAGCGGAAACCCAGAGAATTGCTCGGACACGTTTGATGGCAAGCAGCGACCAAGTTTGTACTGTAAATAAGCCTTGGCCGGTTGAATCGAAAGCACAAGCCGAAAGCTGCTCCAACTGAATCAACCAGGTCTGGTAGCGTGTCGTTGAGCTTCGAGGGGAAACATATTGGGCAATTGTCCGAGAGCAGCTGCCCGCATTTCAGTTTGTTTTCTTCTTCTTTTTCTTCTTTCGCACCATGCACCGGGTAAGTACACCAGTCACATGAGTGACTGACGAGTCTATTGGGGTCTCGTTTGCCGGAGATCTCACTTCCTGAGTTCCTGTCAAGCTTTTTGGGAAGACGATTTTAGCGGTAAATACAAACAGGGCTTCTTAAAAGAAACATGTTTTTTTTTCACCAGAATAAAGGGAACCCACCATTTACAAGTTGCAATGTTCAGGTGTATAATGTAAGGATCCCCGACAAACCTCAGACTTTTTTTGGCCAATCCACTCAGGAAGTGAGACATAGGGAGCCCACCCAAATGTCCACTAGGTGGCTGACATTTCCAATGTTGCCTTGGGGGTGGTTCGGGGATTTGACCCCCTGGTTCTTGTAGAGGGTACATGGGAAACTAGCCCAACACCACCAAACCACCAATCCAACCACTAATTAGAGGGAAGCTGATCAACTGGGATTCAGTCACATGGTGCTTTCTACATCCCCTTTTGTTGCCAACGCACAAGACATCCCAAGAAGTTGTTTTCAGAATCTCGAGTCTGGAGGGAATGTACTTGCTCTTGTTTTCCTTTTCCAGCAAACGATTCTCTTGTGACAGCCCTGTCAAAGGCAAACCAAGAGGTCAAGATGATTGACTGTGTCATTGGTCCGGCAATGGGTCGGCAACCCGCGCAAGCAAAACCGGAAATGAACCTGCAGAAGCTAGCTTGACATTGCAGGTTCATCCCTCAGGGACTGCCCGCTGCCGGTGCCCAAGTCGAAGGCACGCGCTTTCGCGCACTTTTGCAGCCAGTTCCCTTTGACATCACTGGTAGTTGTCAGTTGCACTAAAGGAACAAGTGGACCCTGATCTAAAAACTACACTTGTACTTGAGCAAAAACTGAGGTGAGTTCCCCAAGAAGGTCGGGGCCCTTTTGTGCTTTTCTTGGCTCTTTGTTTTTGTGGATCCGGAAAGTGTCCAATAGAATTTCGTGGAAACACAATCAATGCTTGAACCTCGGCGCGAAAAGGGTAGATGTTCTGATTGCGCCAACTCAGGGCGGGGTTCATCAGTTCTGTTTTGTCGCACCTGGCGCAGACGAAGGGTGCTTTCAAAGCCAGGGCTCCTGAGCTGACTCGGGGCCAAGTTGATAGCGCGCTGCTCTCAACCCCACAGCCCATTCCAGTCATTGCCGCTCTAGCTCCAGTTCCATGAGCCGACATCCTGTGATTCTAATCAGAGGAAACCTGCTCGAGCCGCAAACAAAGCAGCGGCAAGCGATTTGTTTTTCGCAAGAGGCTTCCGTCCCACAGAGAGGTGCGGATATCCGCCCTTGTTTGTGACCCAGTTAAATGGCCGTTGTTTCCGCTTAGAGGTTGTCGACTTAGAAATGGATGTTTGCCATGCCATGTTGCCCAAAGATTACATCTGAGTGATGTTCGTTCAGAGTATCAAGTGGTCCATGTGCAACTTGGGAGGGACGTTGGGGGACTGACGATTTAGCTTCGGAGTGTGATTTGATTGTATACGTCAGGTTGCTGGCCTGTGTGTTTTGATGCCTGAGGCGTGAAGTGAATCGGAGGAACTGGACACCTCAAGAATCAACAGGCCATCACTTTTGAGCAGCCGACTTGACAACTTGTGTCGCATGCCCGTTTTGAGGCGAATGGAGCAGGGCAATTCAGGTCCTGCTGGGCAGAGCTGGTCAAAACCCTGTACCCCGGGTGAACATCAGAATAGGTGGTGCATGGATGTTCATCCGCCCCAAAATGGAGGCATAGGTTGTTGACCCATGGCCACATGCATATGCTGACTCGATTTTTCGCCCAGTTGTTCAGTCCCTATTGTCCTTTTCGGTGGTCTGCGGCGGAGGAGCGGGCTATGACTCTTTTCCGGCACCTGCAAGTTTGAAGCTGCTGACTGAACTGGGCTACGATCGCCACAGCCGCCACGGTCGTGGTTTCTCTGCAAGAAGTGCAAGGGGCTGCAAAACGTCGAGGAGGTGGGCGACTTCTGCGACTTGGCTGCCGGACTGGTGCACACTGCGCAACGGGGCAGAGCCCGGCAGTCGACTACTCTCACCTCGCACGTGTCCAACGGCGACAAGAAGAGCCGTCCTGAAGAGACGCCCGAAACGGCAATGCAAACTATAGGTACGACCGCTGCTCCCTGTTTGCCTACAGTGTTTGGTGCGTTTCCCACTAAAAGTGCGCCACCTGAAGGAGCTCTCTTACTGGGGTAGCCGTGTGCGGATCATTTTGGTGTTTGGTCACAGCCAGTAGTTCCATTTCGGTCTCCACAGGGTTTGCCACCCTTTCAACATGACATTTGCTTCCATTTGCTTCATATTTTTTTTGAATGTTCCCCTGTTGGTCTTAGGGAATCGCTTCAGAATATGCCTTTTCTTCCCCTGTTGGTCTTAAAAAGGGAATCGATTTCACTACTGGAAAAAGCATTATGTTTTCCTCAGGGGGGCGAAGAAGCAAAGAGAAGTTTGCCAGATCCCAACTGGCTTGGGATCTGGCACGGCTCGACGCCTCGCAGGCGTCCGGGAGGCTTCCGGAGAATCTGCGGCGCCAGCTGGAGAGGAGCTGCTTCCGTGGCGGTTCTCCGGGGCTTGGGATTGGGCGGAGCAGAGCTTCGAGGCCAAACGGATGAAGCGGAAAAATCGAAGCCCGGGTAGATGGAAGGTCAAGGGAGTAGTCCCAGCCATAGACCATTTTGATACCAATTGGGTTTTGATTTCGACCCGGGTTGGGCACTCCCAGCTATATTGTTTTGTGGGGCAGCCGCCTTTGTTTGGTTCCTCGTGCGGTTCTGGGTAGACCATTATTAATACCGACCGGTTTTGGTTTCAACCCGGGCAGTGATTCAGTGACAAGCCATTGGCCCAAACCCGGCGTAGCAAGTGCTCCCGGCGGGCTTGACTTTTGTTGGATGTTTTTCGTGTTTGGTGCTGTCGGTCGCTCGCTTGCCCGGAGACTTGTTTTTGGCCTTTTGTCCCCTGTGGTCTACTTCTAGTTAAGATTCCAAGAGGTTGACCAAGGGTTCCATGTTTGATTGCAAGGAAATCTTGAATCCAGGAGTTCCGCCTCTTTTTTGAGGGGGGGAATCAACCACCACTGGGTGTACGTTTGTGATTTCTTCGGGCGCCTACATACTGTTGGTGTACCTTTTCACGACATTTCTGCTGGGGCAACTTGCAACCGCCTTCTTTGAAACACCCAAATCTGAGGGGGAAATGGCTTGGCTTTGACGAGGATGGTCCAACAGACTTTGAAATTCACCCCCTAGACTTGGCCTAAAATGATCTCACCTGCCTTTCTCATTTACTTTGCAAGACTCAATTGAACGCCACAACCGGGAGGGAGGGTGTACCAAAAAGTCTATCTTAAGGAACCCAAGGCCACCGGCTTCCCCCGCCCGCCATCCGGCTCGACCGCCTGCCGCAAAATCTTCTTGAGCTCAGCAAAGATCGGGGCCATGGCGCCAGGCGGGTCAAGTCGCACGCGACGCGCGTTGCGACTTGCAGCGAGCGAAAGCTGAGCCATGCCTTGTCTTGGTGATGCGGTGCCTGAGCTTTATAGCTTTTCAGCTTTTTTGGTGTTGAGTGGTTGGATTTACATTTCAGCCACTGAAAATTAAACTTTCAGAGGGGGCCAGTTTCTAGGGAATTCCCAAGGATGATCGAAGTATTGACAACTGCTCTGGTTGCCTTTGCTTTTCGGGGAGCGCATTTCCACCCTGCCATGGAGCCTTATGGCTAGCTTTTTGTAAGAGAGAGGCGAGAAATCGAAGTAGCCATGACCTGGAACTTGGGCACCAGCAGAGGGATTGCTCAAAGGAAAGCTGATGGCAGCTGCTGATCTTTAGGGCGGGTTTTCCCCAGCCCAAGCCGTGGGTCTAAATCATGCAGAACAAAAAAACAATGGAGGCGTGACGGTGAAAAGATGTCGGATCAAGCAAAGGGTCAGTCATTTTCTTTCGCAGCTGTTCAGTTCTGTTATTCATTTCGGCTTTGTTTCCAGAACCGGCTGATATCTTCAAAGCGCAAACTAGAGCTCGTCCCGGATGCTGCTGGTACAGTACTTTGGCAGAGAAGGGAGCGCGTACTATGGCTTGTGGTTGCTGAGACTTCGCCGGGCACGTGTGCGACTAAACTCCCGACTTGACACTGGCAACCCTCCGACCCTCCTTTACCGGCGCGTAGCCCAGTTGCCATTTAAGTTGGAGTCGCTTTAGTTTAGCTCACTTACTGCGTGACGTTTTGCATCTTCGGTTGCGGACATGTTGACGTCATGTTCGCCATTTCGAGGTGTACCAGATATGGCCCATCCAAACATCTGCCCTGACACGCGTTGATTCGGATCAGCCGCGAGGTTTGCAGAGGTCTTCTTCCAGGGAAGAGCTCGAAGATGCCTCTCCCAAGGCGGGAGTTGGGACCAGAAGGCCTGGGGCCGGTAGACCGAGCTTCCGTAAGTTGCATTGCTAGCCGGTGATTGGAAGGGAGCCAAGGAGCTGGGGTATCCAAATCTGAATAGGAGCTACCAGTCCTGTATGCACTTGGTAGATGAGCCACCCCCTTTACTCCAAGGAAAATCGCCGTCTACTTCCAGTTGTCGGAACTTCACTGCTTTTGAAACCCTCCCTAAGAATTCGGGCGGCGGCCGGCGGACCATGGTAGACCGTTGTGCTTCTACAGGGAGCAAAATAGTGTCAGTGGTTGGGAGGGCAGTTTGCTGTGCTTCTTTTGGTTATTTGAATGTTTAGGGGGGCTGTGAGATGCAATTTGTAGGTGACATAACGGTGCTCATATGCCATTTGCCGAAAGGGGTTGGTTTAAAGAGGGTAGTGGTCATGCTTGGCAACTGGTTGGGTGATTTTTAGTGGCAGCCGAAAGCAACAGACAGTAGTAGGTGACTGAGAAGCATGCAAAACCAACAGGAAGAAGGCTGGGTTTCTAAAGGGGAGTGACATGTCAGCGTCAGAGACGCTTCACTTCATGCATGTTGTGTTGCACTCCCTTTGAGTGGAAAAACATGTGCCGAATCCAAAACGGTGTAATTACTGCAAGAAGTGTTCCGACATATTTCACATGTGGAGGACAGACAAAAAATTGGGGGGGGACCTGTAACCATTCCAGAACCATTCCCTCCAGTGGTTGCAAGGGCGACTCCATGTGTCCACTCACAGAGGTTGCTCGTTTCTCAGTTGGTTGCTGTGACTTCTCTCAGTTGCGCACCACCCTCTCTTTTTTTCGGGGGCTTCTGGGTGTGTTCCCTCAACAAACAAAAGCATGGGTGTCGGTGCCCCATTCCCTTTTGCTGTCGGGTGGATTTCCTTCAGTCAATCAACAATAGTGTCTCTTTTTCCGGAGCCCCGTAGGCGGGTTTCCAATCAACAGTAGTGTCTTTTTTTCCGGAGCCCCGTCTTAGGCGGGTGTCCAACTTGCCTCACTAACTAGGCGTCTATTGCTGGCCACGTGGGAATGCAAGATTGGTGTGTGTGTCCTTCAAGGCTACCTTGAACGGGACGCCGACGTCGGCAGTCGGCAGTCGGCCTCCGCTTTCAGGGGCCGCAGAACGCGGTGGCAGACGCAGTGCTGTACCCTCAGCGGCGGCTCGGCATGCCAGGGAGCCCTCGCAAGTGAGGGGCTTGGCCGGCCGGCCTGAAAGCAACACGCCGCAGTCGGGCAGATGCCCCTAAGAGCCTCCCGAAAGTGGACATAGCCCAAAGATGGAGACTTGGGGCTGGTTGGCAGAGAGCCGAAAGGAGAGTCTTAGTTTTTTGGTTAGAACCTAGCTGGATGTGCATCTCGAGTTGGGGGCCTTGTGGTTTCCTTTCACAGGTGATTCGAGAGCTAAGTTGCAGATCCAGGGACATGGGTTCTTGCTGGTTCTCAGCCATCCAGTTCCATAGCTTTTCAGATCTTTTAGTGTTTCGTGGGGATTTCCATTTAACCCAAAGTGACACTTCTGAGGACAGCCCAGGTTGTGGGAAACTAGGTTTTGAGAACTAAGCTGACGCTTTCGACGATACCAAGGCAACGGCTTTGAAGGGCTAAGGTTGGCATCATAGGGACATAGGCAGAAAGGATCCATGTTTCACAATCAGAATGACTCAACCGTGTTTTGGGGCCCCAACATGTTTGTTCTCAATCCACACTCTACCAACAAAGTGTTGAGGGGTTGACTCAAGTCACACCTCCACCGGCCGGCAGTTCTTGATCAGTTGGATTGAAGCTAGCCTCAAGGGGCTTCCGCAATTTGGACACCCATCAGAAGTATTTTCGCGCGACCTACGTTTCGCATGTTTGGTTCGAATTGGAATCCACCAGAATGGAGCGGCTTTTGAGGAAGCGCGGCGGCTTCCCCAATTTTTGCTGGTCTTTGGTTCTTTCATACTTTTCTACTTTAGGGCAGATGAATTTACGGGTGTGCCCCGTTTTTTTAGGGTACCCCGCAAAATGGTGGTGGTCCCGTTCGTTTCCCCATAGAACCACCAAAAAGGGGTAACCTCCACAAAAGTATGGACACACATTGACAAACCTGGAGGCATACTGTGGATGGACGAAATTCTGCACCACTTTGAAGCCATGGTTTTGGCGATCGTTTGTTGGAATTTACAGGGCAATCATCAGAAGCCAGGGTTGCTTAGGTGGTGCCTAAGAGGATTTCGCCTATCCACAGGCGTCCCCTTAAAAGCACAAAAAAAAGGTACCCTCAAAAGGCATGGACACAAATTTCAATTCCGGAGCCATGTCTTTGGGTGTACATGGGCGACGGTCAAAAACCCAAGTGCAAAAGTTAAGTAAGGGGCATATTGACGTGTTCTGGCGCTGTGCGCGCGAAAGGTTTGGCGAAAGGGCTGGCCACAATGATGATAGAGGATGCTGATTTAGCCTTCTGAATGGTGCAAACATGTTTTAAGCGCTGTAGAAATAGCTGTTGGTGCCGTTTGTGCCCCTCGCACCTGCATGTTGGTATGCCATTGTTAGGGGGTTGCCCAAAAGCTATTTCGGCCAAGGACAAAGTACATTTGGGCCTGTTTCGGGGTTGGTCCACAGGATGCCAACCAAGACACCCCCAAAACCTGTTTTGGGCCATCCAGTGCCCAAAACAGGTTTTCGTCTGCCCGAGTTTGTATTCTCAAGACAAAAACACATTAGGACACTTTTCCAAATGTTTGTTCCAGTGCCTCACTTGCAAATGTTCTTGAGAATGCAGGCTAGGGCACCCCCAAAACCTGTTTGGGGCACTGGAAAATAACATTTGGGCGGGTTTTGTCAAATGAGTCTTTCCTTGAGCCCTCAGACCACCGCACCCCCAAACAGTGTTTTGGGAATTGGAAAGCAACGTTGGTCGGTTGTCAGGCTGGTTCGCCAAGGGGCGGAAACGTGTTCCTCTTTCCTTCAGAATACACAGACTAGGGCACCCCAAAAACCGTTTTTTGCCTTGGAATAACATTTGGGCTGGTTTGCAGGTCGCTGGTTCTCAAAATAAGCTTTTGACGCATGGCTTTAGTGGTGCAGTCGACGGAGGGTTGTCGACCATGTGCGCCCCACTGTGGGCACGACAGAAAGCAACAAACAAATCATCTCGACCAACGCCCACATAATCTCGCACCTTGGCGTGTACAGTTTCTCTTTCCCTTGAAAGTCACAAAAACGGGGTACATGTTAGGGAAGACCAAATATACCACCAACAAACGCAAAAAAAAGGGGGTACCCTCAAAAGAACGCATGGGCACAAATGTCAGTCTTTGGGTGTACAGGAAAGGGCCAAGTGGCCAGTGACGTCTCGAGGCAGATGACCACCTCCCAGTTGGAGGCTGCCCTCGCGGAGCAGCAGCGTGAGCTGCTGCCTGGCGAATTCGATTCGCGGTTTTTTGAGCGCCAGGGCTCCAGCATGAACCTGGGGTCCGGTTTTTTTTTTTGGGGGGGGGGTTGATGTTTTCGAGGGTCCGTCTTTTTCTTTTGTGTGTGTGTGTGTGTGTGGTGTGTGTGTGTGTGTGTGGTGTGTGTGTGTGTGGTGTGGTGTGGTGTGGTGTGTGTGTGTGTGTGTTTGTTTTGTGGGGGGGGGGGGGGGAGGCGGGGTCATTGATGTTTTATAGGACATATGGCTAATGACAAGATTTCAAGCGGCTGGTGGACATGAATGCCCGCCTAAATGATGTTCACCAAGGGGTCCCCCGTTGAACATCACACCCACATGGGTTTGCCGCAAAATGGGGGGGACCCTGCGAAATGCGCGAATCCCAACCACAGAACAGGCACAGGGGCCACCCCCCCGCCACCCCACCAAAATAGTAGAGTCCTCCTATTCATGGACTCTACTATTCATGAATCCGAAGTTGACATTACCTTCCATGCTGTTGGATGGACAAAGCCAATCAAGTTGTGGCTCTACTAGCATGGCTATTCATACTGTGCCGTCGTGTTGTGAATGTAGACTCCACTATATACCCAACATGGTAAAGGTGCATGTAGGCGCCATAAATCCCATGAGCTTTTTAATATGCAGGGTTACAAAGGTTTCTGTAGGCACTATTCCACCCATGCAACCAGGTAGTTTCTAATCACCTGCATGCACATTGAGCAATCAGTTTTTCATGGGGGCTGGGGGGGAGGGAGGGGAGGGAGGGAGCCCACATAAGCCCTTATTAAGCTCTTAGTAAGGCCTTGTTTAGGGCTTATTTAGGCTCCCTCCCCCTCCCCTCCCTCCACCATGAGTTTTGGCCGCGAGTCCGTTGCAGCCAACCCATGTCCGCTTTTGAGCTCCGCACCGAAGCTCTTGACTGCAGGCATGTGCACGTATGTGTTGTGTTTGTTCGTTTTGTGGGTTCTGTTGATTTTCAGTCCGAACAGAAACCATGGGTTTAGCTTACGCACGGCTGGTTGAGAACACGTGAGATCAAAGGAGGAGAGAACAAGATAGGAGCGGAGAGGAGAGGTCTCTTTTTTTTTCTCGAGGAGATTCGCAGTTTTTCCCCTTTGGTGTGAGCTTGCCATGGTCACAAGTCATGACATCTACCAATGTTATTCGTCGGCAGTCATTGTAATTTGCTCTTGTGGATTTCTTGTTCCAACGAAAGGAGGTCACGACATGTCCAAGGCACATGCTGGTGGCCCACCACTATGAGACTGCCCGACAGCGCCTCGGCATGTCAGAGCAACTCAGAGCTTGATTTGGGTGGTTCCTAGAATGGTGTCAAGAGGACCACAAGCAATCTAGCCAATATGTGAAATTTGCAGATACCGCCTTCCGTTTGGTTGAATTGATGCCAAACCAAACAGTTTTAGGGTGCCGGAACCATTGACTCGAAAGAGGCCGTCTTTTGGGTTGAGTGTTGCGAGCTATTTTGACCAGCCAGCACAAGTGCGACTTGTTGCGTGCCCGGATCCGCGATCCTTTCTTTCCCTCAGCCAAGTGCGACCGCCTTACCGGAGTTGTGGGCCCGGTTCCTCAAGAGCGCACCCATTCGAGAGGTGCCAAGGGGATGTGTTTTTTTGTTTGTTTTGTTTTCCCCCGAGTCGCGGCTGAGCGCCGGGTTGGTTAGCTTTTGAGACGTCGCAGCACTTGCCGGTCGCTTCTTGAGCTTTCTTAAAGCCTCTAAAGCAGATGTCAAGGGGAAGCGCACCCGAGTCAGCTTCTTTGTCCAACTCTGAGAACTTTGTCAAGCGTGACTTTGAGTCCGAGCTTTTTGTTGGTACAGTCTCGTCACTTTGTGTACGGGCCCGAGCAGCTGGATGTTTCTGTGGTTCTCATTTCAGAAAGCTTGGGTTTTGGATGAGACGGGATCACAGTCAGCGCTATGGCTTTGAATCACCACGTGTCGCTTGTCCAAGCTGTTAGCCAAATGTAAAGTTGTTCATATGAGTCTCGATCAAAAGCTGGTGCTAAAGAAGTCTGCCGAACCATGCGTAACAAGTCAAAGGACCGCCACACCGATTCATGGTTGGGATCCGCACATCACAAACTTCACTTACCCGAGTTCGGATTGTGGCCCGTATGGCGCATCATCCACGAATTCCGCCCTGGGGTGCAAGGGGTGTATTCTGTCGCCATGTCGGGGTTTCTCAAATTAGTGGTCAGCTTGGCTCCCTTTTGGGTTCCCTTCAAACAGCCAAAAGGGTCCTCCATTTTCAGAAACTCCCATGTGGGGTTGTCCCTTCAACGGTCAACCAACCGATTTTCTGGATGTTTTGAGGTTGGCTTCCCTTTCAACAAGAACCCAACCAAATGTGCTCAAAAGCAGAACCCAGCCATGTTCCATGGTGATGCCTAGGCATGCAACGAAGGAGCTATACCAGGCATACTTGTCGAACTCGTCAACGTGCGCTAGTCCTTGTTTGAAACATGGTGGGGAGGCCTGTTGGGGACCTTTGGGCCATTTCTCCAGCGACCTGTCCGGGACGTTTTTTTGCGTCCGAGCGAGGATGCTTGTGACCAGGGACCAGCGACTTGGCCGCGAAAGAATGAGAGAAGCGAGGGATGGGAACGAGGGAGGGAACGAGGGCGGGAGAGGTGGAAGCGAGCGAGAGTCACATGAAGCGAAAAAGCATAGCATACACAAAGAGTCAGATAGCGAACGAGCAAGAAATGCAGAACACACATGGCATAAATCGCATAAATTTGAAGGAATACATAGACAACAAAATAAATAGATAAGGGACAATAGAAGGATCAACAACAACAAAGACAGAACATAGATAAATTAAAGCATGAGTAAAAGCACACAGAACCGAGCGACAAAAGTAATACCGAAATAAACAAGGCAATCAATCAATCGACAAATTAATTAGTACATAACTAGATGCATGAGATAGATACCAAATCAGCAAGAAGTCTTAAGAGTGTTTTTGGCAGGCTCTGTTTTAGTAAACGCCACAGAGGTCCTGAAGATCCCTGGCGTGTTTTCTTTGAGACGCACGGAAGCTACGGAGGCCTTTGGGAGGGGGTTTTGGGGAGCATGGGAGGCCACTGGATTTACAGGTTTGGTTCAACCAGTTTAGTCTGTCCATTTGGGAGGAAGTCTGGGGAACTCTCTGATTTTCCCCACGTTCTTAGAGGGTATATGGCACACTTTGACGGCTGGGTTCATGGTCTGTGAATTGATTGAAGGAGGTTTGCCAAAAGCCTGGTGCCCTCGCGCGGCGTGGTGCTTGGCTTTTTTTGTGCCATGGCCGCGCTGTTGGAGGGCGCAGAACTTAGTCGATATGAATTTTGGGGCAGGGTCGATTTGCACATCGGAGGGTGCCCTGCCGCCGAAATCCGGGCCAATGGACAGTTTGGGGGCCCGTCAGGAACTGAACCGACTTGGGCCCAGTATTATGTTGTGTCTTTGTTGAGGGCACTTGTTTTTGTTGGGAAGCCAGCAGCAAAGCCCCCCCCCCAAAAATGGAGAAAGTAGGGGGCCTGGGGGGTGGCCTGTTGATGGTTGCCTGTTATGGTTTTTATGTTCATCTCAAATCTGTGTTCCCCCTTATTCGTTTTTAATAGAGGGTTTTTGGGGAGCTTATTTATCGTTTTGTTAGAGGTGGAACATTTGGGTTTTTGTTGCCTTGTTCATTGTTGGGCTGGGGGCAAACATTTTTTTCATTTGAAAGAGGTAGCCCTTTTAGTAGTTATCAAGTTCTGGGGTGTTGGTGGGTCGTTTGTTTCTTTGACGTTTATCTCTACAATTATTTATTTTTGTTCTACACTCTTGACAATATTTATATCTTCTTCCACTTTTTACATTTCCAAATTCATCAATTGTTTTATCATAAAGGCATCTGTTACATTTGAAGAATTCACCAAAGTCTTCTTTTGCTTTTTCTTCTGTCATTCCATAATTATTCATTATAGTTTGCTTCACAACCATTCTTAATATATCTTAACAACTTCTTTTTATGTGATTTTTATGTGATTGTCTAGCTATGTTTTATAGGTTAAAAGTTCAGTATAATTATAACATATAAGATTTTACATGTTATTATTATATTATGATTATAATTTCAGTTCAGGATAATAATCTAATTGGTTTGTCTTACTTCTTTCATACATCATTTTAAAAATAATATTAACATCTCTCACTGTATTCTGAACATTAAACTTTTTACTTTCAATAAATAATTTGATATTTTCTTTAACATCTTCTCCTTTCTCTTGACTATAACCCAACATCCATAATATATCGTAAATCGTGTCATATTTTTTCTTACTGATTTTAAGAAACTGTTTAACACAATCGTAAGGTGGTATTTTATTTACAGTTAGAAATATTAAAATATCATCTTCTACATTTCTATTATGTATTCTTTTTATTCCCAACAGACATTTGATTAAAAATTGATTATCTCTCCAAGTTTTACAATTTTTACATATGTCTTCTTCACCATCCATTGAATAATTAATAATATTATTCACTATTTCATTAGGTAAACTCAATTTATACAATTCCATATTTTCTTTTTTGAAGTGACAACAATCATAGCATTTTTTATCGATATAATTATTGATTCCATCACCGTTCATTTTTCTCTTAATATATAAGCTAATATTTCTTTAAGTAGTTTTGGCTAGGGGGTTGCTGGTCGGCTGGTCTGGGTTTCAGGTTTAATTTAAATGTCTTAACCTTCTTGTTAGATTATAAAACAATGTTTAATCATATTATAAGATAATAATATTAATAAACAAAAGTTAATTTGACCCGTATTCAATCTCACCAGCGATACAACCACTATAACAACTCATACTATACTCACAACAATAATGCTCGTATCCTTTTATTAATTGGTCTGTGTAAATTTCAATTAAGTCGCTTAATATGTTTCTCATATAATAATTGTTATTTCTATATGACCACCAATTGTTTAGGTTAGGAAAGAACAAATCACTATTTTTGATAAACTTTAATTCTTCAATTTTAAGACAATTTTTTAAAAGTACAGTAATTTCTTCTTGATTATTCTTACAATATGATTTTAATCCTTGATAATACATTTTTCTTGATTTAAATCTTTCTTTAACCTCTTGTTTATTAAATATTCTGTCAATTCTTTTTCTGTATTGTTTGTTAACAAAAGGGATTACTGTTAGACAAGTAATATCGTTATTTAGCATTTGTTCAATAATCTTTAACTGAAGCTCTGCTTTTTCCAGACCTTCTTCAGGAATGTCTTTATTTCTCATAAAATGTTCTTCTTCATCTCTCAAATACCAACAATCAAAACATGTTGGTTTAATATAACCACCTATAAGATTACAAACATTGACAGGTAAAATATTAGCTAGTGCCACGACAGACTTACATTTTTTATTTTTACAAGGACAATTATCATAATTAAACAGTGTCATTTTTTTCTCTTACTATATTATACCAATTTTTCTTTAAGTAGTTTTTATTTTATGTTGAGGGGTGGTGGTTTATATTGAAAAAATATTTTCTAACAATTTAATATAATGGCGAGATTAACAAAAGACCAAATAATCAGCAACATCTATTACGACTTAGACGAGGGTTTCGGAAGCATACAAGCGACACACAAGAAGGCAAAGGAAGAAGACCCAACAATAACAATAGACGATGTAAAGTCTTTCTTGAAGAAACAACCAAATAAACAAATCAAAAATTATAGAGGTACTAATTCCTATACCGCTCCATTCGCACGATATGAATATCAAATAGACATAATGCATATGTCTCCTTTAGCAAAAGACAAGAACGTTCCACAGTATGCTTTAGTCGTGATTGACATCTTCAGTAAATTAGCAGATGTAATACCGATGGAGGAAAGAGACGGAGAGCACGTTTTGAAGGCGTTGAGAGCAAGCTTTAAAAAGATGGGTTATCCGATGTCCGTGTATTCTGATGACGACGGAGCGTTTGCAACTAAAAATCAAGTTCAGTATTTCTTCAACAGTGAAGGAATAAACCACATCGTCACGAAGACCCACGCAAATGTGGCCGAGCGTTTTATTAGAACGATGAAAAACAAAATTCACGATAGAGTTAGGTTTAACAACATGAAATGGACCGACGCCCTAACGCCGGCATTGAAACAGTATAACAGCACATCACACTCATCAACAAGGATGACACCGACCGATGCACACAAGGACGACAATGAAATAAATGTAAAGGTCAATCTTAAATTACGAGAAAAAAACAAAAGAAAGTATCCCAAAATAGAGGAGAACGACAAGGTAAAAGTGTTCCAAAAGAAAAGGGGTAATTACACCGACAGAAAGGAGTATAACTCTAAATGGTCTAATAAAATATTCAATATTGATAAAATTGAATATGATATTATGGGTAATAAAACTTACAAAGTAGCAGGAATAAACAAACCGCTTTTGAGACACGAAATTTTGTTAGTTAATGATTAAACATAAAGTTTCAGTTCCTTGTCATATTCTATTTTGTCATAATCCATTGTTGATTGCTTCGGTTCTGTAATTTCTTTGTTATTAAGTTCGTTTAAATAATTTTGGTGTTTCAAAGTTTTTTCGTGTCTTGCTTTTGCCCTCCAAGACACACAACAATTACAAAATCAAACATGTATGTGTGCGGTCTTTTATTTTCTCAATATATCGTTATATTATGAATAAACCCCTGTATCTTCATCATAGTCAATTTGATAAAATGTCATAGTTGAAGCCTTCGGTTCTTTAATTTCTTTGTTATTAAGTTTGTTTAAATAAATATTTCTTTTATTTTTATATTCAGCTCTGGTTCTATCTACTTCCTGACTTTGATAACTGTTTGTTAGTGGTTTCTTCTTTTCCATTTCTTGTAAGATTTCCAAAATATTATTATTCTGTTCTAAAACCTTTTTTAGTTGTTTAACAATCTTATCTAATCCTTCAGCCATGTAAAATATATACTAAATTATAAAACTAAACTTTTAAAACTAAATGTTGCAATTATGTTAAATCTACTCTTTAAATACTAATTTTTCATTAATTGTTTAACAGTTTCTTGTGTTTCCTTATCACCATTATCGGATGGTGATGCATGCCTTCCCCATTTGATAGCAATATTATGAACATCTGTTTCTAAGTTTATACTGTCTTTAGTTTTATCAATATTCATTTTCTTATCATTTCTACTTATTTTGAAACTGGCTGGAATACACGAACATTTACAGTTTCCTTTCTTTTGTATTTCTAATTCATTTTTCATTTCTAAGATTTTTTTACACATTGGACAAGCAAACTCAATAACTGATGTTTCTTTAACAATTTCTTCTTTTTCTTCATCGGTTGAAGAAACAACTGATTCTGTCTTATTCTTTTTCTTTCTCCCCATCTATATTAATATTTATATTTTTAATATACTGTATTCCTAACTTAATTAATTCTAATGAATAATAACAACATTTCTTAATTTTATTATCGGTTATTATTACTTGTTCTATATTTTCTACTTTATCTATTATATCAATATAATCCGAATAACTTCTATTCATATAA